TATTCTCTGCTTGCGGTTCGAACTCAATCCGGGAACCGACTGATGACGTCTTCATTCTCTTGGTTGTGTCTGAGGCCTATTGCGGTCTGAGACGACTATATCAGGTTTCTCGAATATGGTCTGAGTATTTGCCCTCCATGCGTTGTTGTGCGCTGCTTTCTTTGTGCATGTGGCATCGTCGCCATGCGGTTGCGACAGTTTTGATGACAGCAAGAGGATTGTATGAGCGGCCATGCCATGCGCCTCCCCAGAAGGCCAGCACGTGCGCAGTGCCGAGCGAGTACGCCAGATGTTCGTTGCATGCTATCATGGCAGTCGTCACCAAAGAAGCACATCACCTCTTGACAGATGCTCCCGGCACTGCTCCATTGTGGACCCCCTGGCCGCCTCCATAGAGCAACGCAAGGGGGGGATACGGAGAGTGTCTTTGTACCCTCAGGGCCATAGCGCGCGTCATGCCCCTTACCCTCCCCCCCTCCTCCCCCCCATAATGTGACGCTCCCTCCTCTCAGTGCGTCCCCGGCAATGCCGAGGGTCAAGCAGTGGCGAAGCGTCCCGGCGTGCCTATAGCCCTACCGAACATTGTTCTAAGAACCTGTTGTGGTTTCCACGAAACATTCTTTGAACTTTCTGGCTGGGACTATCTTGTTTTAACGCATGAGGCTTACGTTCTAAGAACATTGTTTTTGCTCTTAGAGCGTTTTTGGGTTCTAAGAACATGTCGTGGTAGGTCTAGAGGAATGCTAGGACGGTCGGTCCCTGCTCAAGAGGGCGGGGGCGCATAATCGTGCGTTTCTAATCGAATTCAATCCTGGGCCGTGTTCATGTACGTGGTTGGGCGCGTACGTCCTCGATTCGGCGGCGAGCGAGGGGGGGGGGGAGTGAGCAGTAGAAGGCCTTCTCAGAAGGCGGCGGGACTTCTCAGAAGCCCTCTGGCCTTCTGAGAAGTTTTCTGTGTCTCTGGGGAGGGCTTAGAGAATTTCTCCGAAGCCTGGGGGGGTCGCGAGGAGCGCGAGGACGAGGACCGAAGAAGAAGCGACCGCACAATCAAGAATTCTTCCGACGATCTGCGCGCAGTGTCTTCGGGTCTGCGCCCGACCCCCCCTGTGAGCGCGAGGACAGGAACGAAGCAGGAGCGACCGCGCAATCATGAACGTTTTCGACGGCCTGCGCGGGGTATCATCGGATCCGGGCCCGCCCTGGCACGCCGATTCGCGCGCCAGGGAGGAGGGTCCGGCGCCGATCCAAGAAAGCCGTGCGGCGTTCGGAAAGTTCATGTCCAGTTATGCAGTTCTGTCCGGCGGCCAGCCAGGGGGGGAAGTGAGAGGCGCCGGGCCTTCTCTCAGAAGGTTCGGAAATCCCCTGGCCCTCTGAGAAGTTTTCTGAGCCTTCCCCGAAGATGCAGAACACTTCTCAGAAGGCGCGACGGCTTCTGAGAAGTATCGCCCGCCGCCGATCCCTCTTCATTTCAAGGAGGAGCAGGAGGAGGAGGACGAGGAGGAGGGAGACGAGGAGGAGGAGGAGGGGGAGGAGGAGGAGGAGGAGGAGGAGGAGGGCGGCAGGAGGGGGAGCAGGAGGAGGACAGCAGGAGGAGGAAGAGGAGGAGGGCGGCAGGCCTTCAGTGGACTTTTTCTCGCGCCGCGCAGCCGCGCACGTTTTGCCCGGCCGTCAAGCCTGCACGCGGCCAGTTGGGGCGGAAGTGGCCACCCGGCAGCTTGTGTGCGCGTAGTGGGGGGGGGGCGATACGGTCCCGGATAGCTCTCTGAGAGCTAAGATGGTTTCGGATTAGAAGCTGGCACCGCGGGCAAGCCTCGGAGCTCGTTCCAGCTTTCGGCAGGACGCATCGCAGAAACTGGTGTGAGTTCGCAGGTTGTCCTGGAAGGCGTTTTCGTACTGTTTCCCAATACGTGTGCCGTCAAGTTGTCCATAAGCTCTTTTCCAAAGCTTCCAGAGTTCCTTCGAAGGACCTTCCACAAGCTTCTGTCGACTCGCGATTTTGGTTTTCTTCACGCGCAGTAGATTACGTAATAGATTCAACCCGGAAGCTTGCAGCAACGCATGGCTGTCCAGCACGAGTTGCAAAGCAAAGTACGCGCGTTTTCTTGTAAATTCGTTACATCCGACTTTTTCCAACGTGCTCATCAAATGCGACCAAATGGGCTCTTCGCGCGCGCGCGAATGCCGAATCAGTCGAACGCCCTTGCGCGCGCGTTGGTTAGGAGGCACGGTTCCATGCGAATCGTACCGATGAAGCCACTCGCACCTGCCGGCCGCGCGCGCATGTCGAGTTCTTATCACCGACACTTGGACACCATCATCGTCATCGGCATGAGCAGCATCGGCGCCGTCATTGGCCTTGCCGTCGTAATCGCCACCGTCGTCACCAGCACTGCTACATTCATCGTTTCTGCCGTTGTCGACGTCGCCATGGTACCGCGCCCGCCCGAGTCACCGACTCGCACTGACTTGCCCGCGCGCGTCAGCGCGGCCTGCGAAACGCGTTGGGAAGTCCCCAGCGGCCAGCGCCACCGAGGCCGCGTGGGTCGCGCCAGGCTAGCTGGCCGTTCTGCTCGCGAGCTTACGCGCGCTAGCGCGGCCGCAGCAATGCGCCAGCCAGCGCCAAGCAGTCACCACGATGGCCGCCGCATGCGTTTTGCAAACCAAGTTTCGGGTGGGAGGGTCGGATAATTGGGCGATCAGTGGACTCGATATTTTTAAAGTTCGGCCAGGTGAATGAATTGCACCACGCAGATGTTTCTTCCTAATAGAATCACAGGATCGCCCCCCCCGGGATTAGTGGTACATTTGTTTGTACTGCAGCTTGAATGCGGTTCTGCCCCATCGCCCACCAGAATTATGAATTCATTCCATCCTAGCCAACCGGAGTTCACCCCCCCTCGTCTTCTGCCTGATGGTATGCCCGCGCTGTCGTTTATCCCAAGTCCGCAATTTTCAAGAACCCCTCTTACAAAACAAAACAAACAAACAAAAAACGGTACGAAGTGCACGCGCGCGCGTTGTCGCGCGCATGCCGACATGTTTCAAAGTTTTGCAGACTCGCATGGGTTTCGAGATCGAGTTCCACGAAAAGAGATGTTTATATATATATATATATGTTTTCGCAACAATAATGTTTATCAAAGTTTGCCGTCGCGCTCGTACGAATTCTACACGAAACCACAGGTGCTTCAACATGTTCATAAACTGATTCCACAGTGGCCTGTCGCGCGCGCGTGTCGACATCGTTTGAACGCCCCTGCGCGCGTGTTGTCGCACGAATCCCTTGCACAAAACGGGACGAAGTGCGCACGCGCGCGTCGTCGCGCGACCATGCCGGCACCTTTCAGAAAGATTTCGAATTCGATTGCCCTGGAAACATATGAATAACATGTTTCTGCAACGCCCGTTTTTGTTGAAAAATTGGGTTCGCGCCCTTGCGGATTCTAAAGAAAACCGCCCGTGTTCCAGCATGTTCATCACATTCTGCCAAGCGGGCCTTTTCATACCGCGTGTCGAGCTCATTCGGGCGCCCTTGCGCGCGTTTTGAGGGGGGGGCCGGTCCGTGTCAAATAACATAACGCGGGCCACTCGCGCGCGTCGGCCGCGCGCGCATGTCGAACTCCTTCAAAAACTTTCACCGCCGACGCAACGGACATCGTCATCGTTATCGGCGGGCGTGGTCAACATCGGCGCCGTCCTTAGCCTTGCCGTCGTCATCGCCACAATGGTCACCATCGCTACCCTCATGCTTGTGTCTACCGTGGTCGGCGTCGCCACGGTACCGCGCCCGCCCAAAACACCGATTCGCGTTCAAGTGCCGCATTGAAGTGACCGTTGGGAAGTGCCCAGAGGTCAGCGCCACCGCGGCCGCGTCGGCTGCGCCAAACTAGTTGGCCGCTGTTCGCACGAGCCGCAGAGACGCACCAGCCAACGCCAGCCAACGCTAGTATGCTAGAACATGTATTGGGTCACGCGTTTGCTGAATATGTTCGCGCCCAGCGCTTTCGCGCTACAGTCGGGTTTGATTAGTAGACCGGCTTTGCAAATCAAGGGTATCCTTGTCTTTTGTGTTCCGCGCCCCATGTCATCTGCATTGCATGGACAACGTTGCCCTTGGAGGGACATTGTGTCTTTGTCGCGTGCCTTCGCTAATCAAACTCGATTATATTTTTGTGACCGGGACCATCATATATCGACTTCGCCCGGAGCACACCGCACGAACATGGGATCTAGGGTTCCACTCGTGATGGTTTCGCGGTCGTGCTGCTTTCGCGCAAAGTCGTATCTCAGGGGACAGCCGCTTGTGGCTTTGGAGGCCTGTGGGGCCTCGTGCCGTTCGAACATGTCGTAGCGGGCAGGCGAGATGTGGGTGGGGGGGCATCGCGGGCTGCAGGACTGGGACCTCCTTCAGATGAGCAAGAGGTCATGATAATGATGCGCTCCAGGACTTCCAAGAGGACCATGGTTTCCATATACATTGCTGTTACACACGGTTGTCAGGAGCGATTCCCGATTAAAACTCAAGAAATTTTGGAACGTAGATAGTTTCAGCCAATCGCATCATGACACCATTGTCATCCTACCCCTGGGGCCCCGTAAAGGCTCACCTGCTCTTCACCCCCCCGTTCATCGGTCCCCCCAGTCAGCAACGCCCAAGCCGCCCAAAACCTCCGCGCTAGTCCAGGCGGCCCGCGGTAGGCTCAGAGAGGGCCGCGATTCGCAGCCGATTTTATTGGCCGCGACCGACGAGTTCAGTCGCTACCGAATCTGCTCCAAGTTTCGAAGTATCGGCCGCGACCGATGTGGGGATCGGTCGCGATCGGTCGCGACCGATTGCAGTGCCGATCGATCGCTACCGATCGCGACCGGAAAAAAAAGGAGCCCAACGATCTGAGAGCGGCGTGGATGCGGGGCGGGAGGAGGAGGAGGACGAGGAGGAGGAGGAGGAGGAGGAGGAGGAGGAGAAGGGGCTGGTGGTGCGCCCACACGAACGCGCCCAGGGCAAGTTCCCGGGCCTGGCCATCCGCGGCTCGGCCCAGGCCGTCTACGTTGACGACCCGGACGCGACCCCGAATTTGCCGCAGGCCCGCGCGGCCGCTCGAGTTGTTGGGCAGCGGTGGTTCCTCCTCCTCCTCCTCATCCTCCTCCTGCTCCTGCTCCTCCTCCTCCCTCCTTTTCCTCCTCCCTCCTTTTCCTCCTCCTCCTCGGCCTCCAGTCGGCGGCGAGGGAGGGGGGGGACGTGAGAATGAGAAGGCATTCTCAGAAGGCGCATGGGAGTTCTCAGAAGCCCTCGCGCCGTCTGAGACGTTTGCTGTGTCTGCGTGGAAGGTTTCCGACCCTTCTCAGAAGGCTTGCGGATTTCGACCCTTCTGAGAAGGCCCGCCCATTCTCGCCGCAGAGGAACGATGAAGAATCCACGCGGTGTCAGAAACCAACGCGCAGGTCGTCACGACACGAGTTAAGTCGGGCGTGTCCCTCTACAGGAGGAATATTCAAGAGTAGTAAAGAAATAGTATGGTGGGGATTTGTCGACTATGTTCGACTATTGTCGAGTATGTTTTGACTACTTGTCATTTGTCTTTCAAGATCCGCCTGTAGGAGGACATGCCCGACCTCTGACACGAGTCGGGCGACGAAATCTATACATATCCGCCGCTCCTTGGCACGGCCCGTCCTGGACCCAGGAGCTGTGCGTATACACCGTTGCTGGGTTCAGGATGGGCTTGGCCAGGGAGCACTGGATGTGTATAGATTTCGTCGCCCTCACGAGCTTGCCGTAGGCAGTCAAACCGCATAGTAAGGATGAGCAGTTCTCCAAGGCCACCACTGCAGCCCCGCCCCTTCTGCCCATCATTGGCAACTTTTGCTGGCCAACCCCGTTCGAACATCGTCGGCATGGCCTTCCAGGGCCCTTACGGTCAGACCGAGGTACACGATCGAGGTCGGTTCGGGAAGGGTACCTCAATGTTCTTCATGTTTGTTGGATGCTCTTGTGCATCCAGGGGGCGAGCACCGTCGGAGGCTCTTCAGTTTTGGCCTGCGGAGGGCCTCGTGTTATTGGAGGATGTTATTCTGTCCTAGGTTTGGCAGTATACCAGCATGAGCCAAATGTAGTGTTTTCTTTCAGTGGTTTGGGCCTCCACGGTCGGCCACCCTCCAAGAGAGGCCCCTGGCGGCCAGTGCGGGTTCCCGAGACCATCTCCGATCTTGGGATGCAACCTTTGGGAGGGTGACTTCGGCATCGGCGCTGGCAGATCCTTTTCCGACGCCAGCCCTTGCCGTGCATCCTTGCCGCGCATTTTCACGATCTAGGCTTCCTAGATCGGAGGGAGGAGAAGCGACACCCATACCACCAGGGGGGCCACCTCCAGCGAGGAGGTCCACGAAGCCTTCTCGAACTGGAGGCTGGGGATGTCTCGAGCGAGAGGGGGGGCCACAGCACCAGAGAGGCCCCCTTGCTTCTCGCATCTCCTCGCCCTGGTGGTGTTGGTGCCTGCTGTCCTTACTCCTACAGATGGGGTTGGAGCAGATGGGCTCAGAGGATCGGGCCGCATCGCCGATGGATCGGCCATGCATCGGCGATGCATCGTCGACGCGGCTCGATGCGGAGGCCCAACGTTCTCCTCACCGACGTCGCCGACGCATCGCCGACGTCGCCCCGATGCATCGCCGATGCGCCGATGCATCAGCGATGCATCAGCGACGTATCGGCGATGCGGCGAGATCCTCCGACGGAGGAGGAGGAGGCGGAGGAGGAGGAGGAGGAGGAGGCGTAGGAGGAGGAGGAGGAGGAGGAGGAGGAGAATGAGGAGAATTCATATGGGGTAATTGTGGAGGAGGAGGAGGAGGCGTAGAAGGAGGAGGAGGAGGAGGAGGAGGCGGAGGAGGCGGAGACCCCATCTAGGAGGCCTCAAAAGGATGCGTCCTGACCGCAGCGGGCACGGTGCGGGTGGGCGGCGCGCGCAGCGGGGTGGTTTGCCCAGGGGGGGGAGGGGGGGGGGGCGGGCCTCCCGGACCGCGCGCGCGCGCGGGGGACGGGGCCTTTGTCTCAGAAGGGCAGGGGCCTCCTCGGGAGGTATGATGTTGCAACCTACTTTAGCCTTGAGCACGAGAAGGAGTTTCGAGCGCCATGAATGCACCAAAACTGAAGGTTTTCACGCGTCGGGCCCTGAGAGGCGACATTCGTTCGACACTTAGCCAGCGTGTCAGGTAGACACTGCTTTGATATGTTCTGGGTACTCGAAATTATTGCGAAGGCCTTACGGCCGGTGCCGGCGACCCTGAATGGCGACAACGACGACGACGACGATGACGACGACGACGACGACGACGACGACGACGGCGACGACGACGACGACGACGAGCTCGGTGGGGGTGCCTCGTGGGGGTAGTTTGGGGGCCTCTTGGGAGGCTCTTGGGGGCCGCTTGGGAGCCTCGTGGGGGCCTATTTTCGCTTCGTGGGGGTCATTTGGGGAATGTGGGGCCTCTTGGGGGGCTTCTTTGGAGCCTCTGGGGGCCTCCTGGGAGCTTCTCAGGCCGAGGGCTCGAAATGACAGTTCGGGTCCCCCGTCTGGGCTCCCTCTTGGAGCCGTACTTTGGGGACGTGGGCCGATACTTCGGCGATTCGGGGCCCTCGAGGACCATCTTGGGGGCATCTTGGGATACTTTTGCCGCGTTTTGAGGCTTCACTGAGCCCTCGAACCGCCCGGGGGGGACTCGCATCTGGGTGGCGACCCCCCCAGGACCCTGGGTGGCAACTCCCCCCGGGACCCCCCCCCGCGGGGAAGGGATCAAAGGGAAGAGGTTTCCCTGCGACTCAACTACAACGTTGCTCCATTTCGCTGTGGCTGGCGCGCTCGAGGAGGAGGGTCCAGTGAAAGTGGGGGGAGCGGCGACGGGCCTAATTAGGGAAAGGGGAGGGGAGCGGCGAAGACGACGACGACGACGACGACGACGACGACGACGACGACGACGACCACGATCAAAACGACGACGACGACGAGTGAAACGGAACAGCCTCTTCCACACGCCGACAGGGTCGGCGGGTTTTTGGGACGTGGTCTTCAAGTGCGACGGGAACCTAACTCGGGAAGCCCTGGAGGCAAGGGCGCCCTCGTGGGCGCAGAGGGATTCGCGCCTCGCGCGTCGCCTCCCCCCCCTCCTCCTCCTCCTCCTCCTCCTCCTCCTCCTCCTCGTCCTCCTCCTCCTCCTCCTCCTCCTCCCTGTCCTCCTCCTCTTCTCCCCCGAGGGGCGGCGCGAGGGCGCTCCGAGTCCTCGTCGTCCTCCTCTCCCTCCCTCTGGGGCGGCGGCGCGAAGGGATCGCGCGAGGTCGGGCGCCCCCGCGGAGGCTTCCGATGTGGCCGCTCGTGGGATGCGAGGGCTCCTAAGCATCAGTCCATCGCAAACATGGATTAAAGGGGGCGTGTATTAGCTTGTCATCGCTCGGACGTGTGCACTTCCTCTCGGCGGGGATTATTAAGGAGCATCCTGGATCATCCTGCGAAAAAAGCCACGCACGAAACCGAAACACAGGGAATGGACGTCCGAGCGATGGCCAGTTAGCGACGGGTCGCATTTTGGGGAGGGCACCACCCCCGATCCATGGATTTGACGACCGCGCGCCAAGTCCACGGATCGCTAATCCATGTTCGCGCGCCACCGAAAGAAGGCCCGTACATTCCTGAGAAGTCCCGCGCCGTCTCAGACGGCAGCCCTACCCTCCGCCCCCGTGCGCGCTTCCAAACGGTATGTCTCGTAAGACCGACCACGTGGAGTGTCTCTGATGGTTCCGCCGTGCGGAACGGGCTTCGCAAGCGGACACCTCTGCTGTTGACCATGGGTCCGCGGACACCCTTGCTGTCGACCGTGGGTCCGCGGATTGCCTACATTGCCCCCGTCATGAGCAGTCATATTGGTTCTCAGAGTGCAGCAGCCAGTGAATTGAGCCGACGTCTGTCGGATAATTATGGCGTTCTTTTGCTTGATCCGCCTTCCATCCTGCAATGGCAGATCAGTTACCATTACAGTCGGACCGAGGTATTATATCGGGGTCGGTTCGGGGATGGTACCCTCATGTTCTTCGTGCCTGTCGGGTGTTCTTGTGCACCTTGGGGAGGGAACCCTCGAATGCTATGTCTGTGGTTTGGCCAGCGGAGGCTCTCGTGTTCTTGAGGGATGTTCTTCTGTCCTACGTCCGACTGTACCCTTACCCCGTGCTGCTCGACCTTGTCTGAACCCCTTCCCGTCCTCTTCCTCACCTTGGGGAGACACCATCGAGCAAACGGGGGGGCGGGGAGCAGACGTCGGAGTGATGGGGGCGAACGGTCTTGCATCATCCCCGGGTGCGTGCCTGGAGTGGGTCTCCGCGATGAGGACTCTTGTTGTTTGTTGTCCCCTCGCCAATGTCTGCCGTCGCCTGCGCCCGCGAGCCACGACCCGCCCGCGACCCCCCCCCCGCCACGCAGCCCACCCGCACTGCGCATGGCCGAAGGCTCGGCGCCTGCGGCGGGTGCCCGTTGGGCAGCGCGTGTCAGACAAATTCCGCGCGCCCGCGTCGGGCCTCTTCGGCGCCCCGCAGCCTGCCGTCGACCCCGCCGCCCCCTCACCAGGGCTCGTCTCGGCTTCTCCGATTCCGGTTCGACTCCGATGGCTTCGATTCCGAGTCGATTCGATGCTGGATTCGGATCTCGGGCTCCGATGGCTCATTTGAGGCCCACTGGCCTGCCGACGTCTGCCGATTCCACTTTTCCCGACTCGGCTGCCGATATCCGTCGATCCGGTTCATGCCGGTCGCAGATCCGACTTGTCGATTCGATTCTGAGGTCTCCTGTCGCCCCCTCACTCGCATCCGCAACTGCGAGGGCTACGCTACATACTGTAAAGGCGCTCGCCGCCCCATCCCTGGCCAGGCTCACTTCCTGGCGCTGCTTCACGTGGTGGACGCCCGCACGCGCCGCTACGCGCACTTCGCCTACCGCTTCAGCACCAAGCCCCCCTTCGACATCTTGCAGGCGCCTGCGCCGCAGAGGGTGGAGTCCAAGTGGTTTTTGTCGCAGGTCGTTCCCAGGGCCCGCGAGCCGGCAACGGTGCGCCTGCCACCCGCACGGGCCGCTCGTTGTCGTCCGGCGTTGGCAGGCTGCACAGAAGACCACAAAGTCATGGGCAAGCGTGCGCAGAATGCTTGCTGCCGTGCTTCCAGGGCGATTCAATTGCCGGTGCTCGGGGTGCCTCCAGTGCCGCATGCTTGCGTGGAGGTGCTGCAATTTTTGGCGATACAGGACACCCCCAGAAGTCCTGACCCTTCCCCCAGAGCCGCGATTTCATCCCGTGTCGTTTTTTGAAGTCTCGGTTTGTTTCATCCTGACTCGTTCTTTTCGTCGATCCTGGGGCCCGGCGAGGGGCCCCCAGAGGCCCATGGTTGCGAAAACCGTCCGCGCTGCGCTCGTGACATCTGAGGCCGCACGAGAAAAAGAACGAGGGCGCCGCCCGTCCCAGACGACAACGGGGGCAGCGGCAGCGACGACAACCAGCTCGGCGGACGATGCCGGCAGTCGGGTCCCGGCTTTGCATCCTGAGTAGTCGTTGTCCGCACCTCCAAGAGACATTGCGCTCGTGACGCCCGAGGCCGTACGAGAGCAAGACGAGGGCGCCGCCCACCCCAGACGACGCCGACGCCGACGACGACGACGAAGCCGCCGCCGCCAGCGCCGACACCGACGACGACGACGACGACGACGACGACGACGACGACGACGACGACGACGGCGGCTTGGTGGACGGTGATAGGGTCAAGACGCCGCAAGAAGGTCCATTCTGGACTCGGGAGGGGCTCCGGTTTCTGGGCCGTTCTTTAGACTTGGGTCGTGGAACGAGGTCTGGCGCTCCGTTCCACGTCAGTGGATTTCTTGGACCACCCTCCTTCTGGAGATCGAAAAGAGGTGTAAAGGGATGTGGTGCCAATCGTTGAAATGGCGATGTCATCTGCGATCGATAACCGCGCCAGATCCAGCACTGGCACCACACCCCTTTACACCACACCCCTTTCCTAGCCCCAGAACCCTGGGTATCTAGTGGCCCTCGGCCCATCCCGTCACCGTGCCTGGGTTTTGGGTTCGGGCCCTCTTGGGCCCGGAAAGGTCACGCGAGATGACGCCCCAAGCCCAAGAAGACTTGAGAGTGATGGGACCAGGCCCCTCATAGACTCCAGGAGTGAGGATGGAGGCTCAGGGGATCGGGCCCAGGACCTGATGGACACGCCCCCTTACCGTGCCCAGCGGCACGGTAGAGGGGGCCTCCGCATTCCGCTTCCCTTCCGTAACTCCGGCTTCCGCACCCGCAGCACCCCAGACGGTGCCCGTGTGCGGGCGTGCTTCGTGCTTCGTGGGTCGGGGAACCTATGTCGTGGCCGAGGCTCCTGCGTCCCTCGGGCAGCGTTCCCTGTGGTCTTGGCATCGCTCGGACGTGTGCATTTTTCCTTCGGCGAGGACCATCGGGGAGCATCCATGATCATGTGGCAAAACAACGCACGGCACCGCAACAAAGACAAAGGGAATGGACGTGCGAGCGGCGGCCGGCGAGCACGGCGGCGAGCGGCCCAGACGGCGCCGGCCATGGCGGCGACGGCGTCGGCGGCGACGACGACGACGGCTCGGCGGACGGTGCGGGCGGTCGGACGAGCCCCCGGGTCACGGGCGATGTTTCTATCCCAGCCTTCAGCTTTTCGACGAAAAGTGAAGCGAGTAAGAAATGGAGGGGAACCCTGTGATACACCCCCGTGGGGCTACTCGGACGCACCCCTATCAAGAATGGGCGCCCCCCCCTCGTATTGGGGCCAAAATTTTCAGTCCATTCGAAAACCCCACGACGCCTGGGATAGGGGTCGACATCACTTGTTACAGGGGCAGAAGTCGGCGGCGGGTGGCGAGCACGGCGGGCGGCGGCGGCGGCGGCGGCGGCGGTGACGACGACGCCGCGGGGCCCAGAGATTGCACGCGACGGCGGCGGCGGCGGCGGCGGCGACGACGACGACGGCGCCGCGGGGCCCAGAGACTGCAGCACGGCTGACGTGCGGAGCCGGAGCGCGGCCCACGGGGTCAATATTCGGGCGGACGGCCACGGGGGTGGGGGGGCAACTGGTGTGGGGGCAACATAGGTTGCATGATTGTGGCACGTCACAGTGCGGCTACGAGAGGGGCCCGATGTTCCTCGGGTCATTGTGTGGTTGCTCCTCTGGCCCTGCTCGTGCGCGCTGGCGCTTCTGGGGACCGAAAATTAAGTTGGACCTGTCCCTCTATCTACAAGAGGCATATTTAAAAGTAGTCAAAATATAGTCTGGGGGGCAACTTGTTTGACTATAGGCTTACACCACATCCGCCGACCCCTATGTAAACTACTGCGCCTCCAGGACTGCATTTCACAAGGCTTCTCCGAATCATGACACGGCGCTCGACATTGTTTTTGTTGTTTCGTTGTTGCTATCGTACCTCTTGGTGTCATGTTGTAACCTTTTGGTGGCATCTTGGCCTGTCTTGCAGGCCATATCCAGCCGCCTCGAGGCATCTTAGGCCAAGTGTTGGGGCCTCTTGCGGGCTTCTGGGGGCTTCTTGGAGGCCTTTGAGGTTCTCTTGGAGGTCCCTCAGGGCCTCTTGGGCTGTTCTTGGGGCAGGCTGGGGACGTCTTGGGGCCGAAGGCTCGAAAAGGTGCCCTCTGGGCTCCGTCTTGGGGCCGTCTGGGGGCTGTTGTTGGACCCTATTCGACCCTTCTTGGGGGCCCCTTCGGCCGTCTGGGGGCGATATTGAAGGTTTCTCTGCCCGTCTGGGACGTGGTGAAAACCGAATAGGCGAGCATGCGAAAAAATGCTGGTTTTTCGAAGTGAATGGGGCGACTCTTGTTTCTTGGGACCCTCTTTGGGCGCATCTTGGGGGCCTTTGGGGCGTCTTGGCTGCTTCGGAGGCCGCCTGGATGCCATCGTGGGCGTCCAGGGCGATACTTCGGCGATTCGTGGCCCCCTGGGACCGTCTGGGGAGCGTTTTGGTGCCTTCTTGGCAAGTTTTGGAGCCCTCCGCTCCCCCGTGGCGCGTTCGGTCCGGGGTCCGTCCGGGCGAAGGGGGGGGGGGGGCGGGGGGCGGGGGGGGGGAGGCGAATTGCCGGTTTGGGGTCCCTGGGGGGGAAGGGGTCGGCGGATTTAGACTATGTGTTATGTTTCGTCCAAAATACGCCTGTAGGAGGACATGCCGGACCTGAGGCCAAGAAAGGGGCTTCGCTCCGCACTTTCCGTGGCCCGACTGTACGGTGAAGGGCCCCGGGAGCGGCCCTCTGGCACGGCCCCCTGTGCTGCAGCCGCGGGGCCCCGACGGTGCACGCTTCCTCTTCCCGATAGTCCCACGTTGAAGCGCCAGTCTTAAGTCGGGCCCGTCCCTCTACAGGAGGAATGCCCCAAAATAGTCAAAAGATAGTCTGAGGACGATTTTTTTAGTATTCTTGGATGATCTGTTTTTGAATACTTCTTTGAAGCATGTTTGGTATTTTGCGTCCAAAATTCGCCTGTGGGGGGACACGGCCCGACCTAACGCCAGTCGTTGAAAGTAGGTATGTGTGGATTCCCAGACCCCAATATGCCCCAAGCGCCCTACTTCAAGAGTCGCTGCGCATTGCTGTGTTCTGTTGTTCTCTGGGCGGGCCCGAGCCCCATATACTTTCTCCGCCTTCCTGCTGCATGTGTTTACCTACTTCTTCCGGCGGACGTGCACTGACCCCCCGTTTACGAACTCCCGACATCCGGGCGTCAGCCCCGCCATTTCCCATGACGCGGCCTCTGCAGCGACGCGTCCCTCGTCGCGCGACGAGTCGATCGATTGTCGATGCGATTGGAGCGTTGCTTCTTTCTTCGGGGGCCTCTGGGAGGCTTCCTGTCGCCACGGCTGGGTTCCCCTCCAAGGCCTAGCTGGAGCGCACCACTGGGGGAGGTCCATGGTTCGATCTCGAGGGGGGGGCGCACAGGCATCTTCCGTCCGTCACCAGACAAAGGCGAGGCGGCCGTCACGTTTTCGGCTTCGGTCTCCATATCGGAGGAAGGGTCGGGGGCGGCAGAGAGGGGGTGGATGAGGATGATTGGGGGGCAACACCTCATGGCGGGGTCCATGTCGTCTCCCCAGATTTCATGGTGCCTCTTCTTACAATACGTCCCCGCCCCCCCCCCCTGGGCCTCGCACATGCCTCCGGCCATGATTTGCGCCCCCCCCTCTTGGACGCCCCTCGCCTGGACGCCCCGGAAGCAGGGCGGCACCACCACCAGGAATTGACCTCCCAGAAGGTGTCGAAACTCCCGGGGGGGCCACGCCACGACGACGAAGAGCTGCGAGGTTTGAGGACGGAGGGCCCCCAGATGGAGCCACGCGGGTGGGCTGGACGCCTCAGAGAGGCCTCGGGCTGCCTGCGCACGAACAGCCGCCCTGGGCAGCCCCCGATGGCCTCAACAAGGCCCCCGAGTAATCCCAGCTGCTCAACGGGCCCCCCGAGTATACCAGGGCGGTCTCAACATTGGGGCGCCGCCTCCAGCAGCGTCCCTCGGGCGCAGGGGCTCTGAGACCGCCCCTGCATACTCGAGGGGGGCCTATACGTTGAGGCCAGCTGTGCCTACACGGGAGGCCTGCTGTGGCCAGGCAGCACTGCCTGGCGGGGCTGCTTGTGCGCAGGCAGCCCGAAGCCTCACCATATGGGCACGGCTCGGGTCCCACGCCAGCACCACCGAGAGCCAGCAACGGGTGCGATCTGCAGCGCTCTCCTCGTCCTCCTAGCTCTCCTCCTCCTCCTCCTCCTCCGCCTCCTTTGTTCCACTTCCTCCCAATGGTGGTCATGTTGATGTTGATGTTGTTGTTGATGCTGATGCTGATGATGATGATGATGATGATGATGATGATGGTGATGGTGATGGTGATGGTGATGATGATGATGATGATGATGATGATGATGATGATGATGATGATGATGATGATGATGATACGGACGATGGTGGTGATATCGATGATGATGGTGTTGATGGTGATGATGATGGTGATGGCGATGATGGTGATGATGCTGCTGATGATGCTGATGATGCTGATGTTGATGATGATACTGATACTCATACTGGTACTGATACTGATAATGTGGATTATGATGATGATAATGATGCCGGTGATGATGGTAGGGATGGTGATGGTGATGGTTATGGTTATGATGCGTATGATGATGGTAGTGATGCTGGTGATGTTGATGGTAGCGCTGGTGATGGTGATGGTGAGGGTGATGGTGATGGTTATGATGATCATGGTCACTGTCAGCATCAACAGCAGCAGTGTTTTCATCAGCATCCTCAACATCATCAGCAGCAGCATCATCATCATCGACAACATAATCACAACGATCATAATCCTCATCATCATCAGGTCCTCCTCGAATCGAAGTGGCGTCTATCATACGACCGATTGCGAACCATGCGTCTGCTGGTCCCGTCGGCGCTGGGGTATCGGACACCCCTGCTTGGGCCCGTTCGGTTGCAGACGTCTTCCGCATCCTAAGCCCCAGCCGGCGGCGTTTCAGACATCGAATCTCGGAGGACGCATAATGGGGTGGGGCGATAGATACACGGGGGGGCAGCGAGGCTGCAGAAAGGGGCCCTTTAGGGCCCCTAAAGGGGCTCTGAGGGGCCCAAGAGGAGGCCTTCGGGGCCCGAAAAGGGCACCCTCCTTCCCTCCCATGAATCGCTCCCCCCCATGATCAGGAGGGGAAAACACACATACAGAATGTATCGTCGACTCTCAGGAAAAGATGAAAACATACAGAAAGCGGGGGGAAGACGAAGACACAGAAAATATCGGAAATATGGGGTATCCTGGGAGTTGTCTCTATTTGTTTGTGTGTGTGTGCGTGTGTGTGTGTGTGTCTGTGCGTGTGTGTGTTTGTGTGTGTGTGTGTCCGTGGGCCCCTCTGCATTAAGTACTTCGGGCCCAAGAACACGCAGGGGTAGGACTCGCAGCTGGCTATCCGAGCTCGACTTGAGGCCACCGGCGACGGCGGCGGCTGCTCGAGGCCATATCCCCGCGCGCGGCGCAGAAGCCCAGCGACGCCCAGCGCGGCGGGTCGTCATCGGGGCCTCCCGCCGCCTCCGCGCGCCTCCTCCCCCTCCTCCCTTTCCTCCTCCTCCTTCTTCCTTCTCCTCCTCTTCCTCCTCCTCCTCCTCCTCCTCCTCCTCCTCCCCGTCCCCCTCCCATTCCTCCTTCCTTCTCCTCCTCCCCTCCTCCTCCTCCCCCTCCTCCTGCTGCTCCTCCTCCTTCCTTCTCCTCCTCCTCCTCCTCCTTCTCCTCCTCCTCCTCCTCCTCCCTCCTCCTCCTCCTCCTCCTCCTCCTCCCCCTCCTATCTCCTCCTCCTCCTCCTCCTCCTCCCTCCACCTCCTCCTCCTCCTCCTCCTCCTCCTCCTCCTCCTCCTCCTCCTCCTCTTGCGCCGGAGCCGTGTTGTTTTTCGCTTGTTTCCGAGAGCAATTCCCGCCGCCCCCAGGCGCCGCCGAAGTTCGGCGGCGCGCGTCCAGGGGTAAGAGGTCAGGAGGGGAAACACAAGCACGGACTCAAATAGCCTTCGATGACCGTCAAAAGAGTGGCAGTTGTGGGGAGTGGGGGGAGAGACGAAATCCCAGAAGGAAAGGGAAAATATGAGGGAATCTTGGCATTGGTGTCCATTCGTTTGTGTGCCCCCGGGCCCCTTGACGTGAGGGGGCAGGCCCTCGCAGAAGGCGGCGGGGCTTCTCAGAAGGCCCAGAGCCTCCCGAGCCCCCTCTGAGACTGCCCGCCCCCTCTGCAGTCCCCCCTCCTGGGCTCGCTGCCGAGAAATCCTGGTCACCCGGGGGTGCGACGGTACGGTGGAGACCCACGCCAAAAAACACCCTGCTTGCCTCCAGGGTGCCCTGGGTTTCTTGGGCTTCGATGCCTTTGCCATGGAAAGCGTGACGTTCCCACACCAAACATCAATGGACGCCCTGGGGTCTCAGGGTTGGGTCTCTTGTGCAATGCTTCTTGTGGTCGGGCCCCTACTGTAATCCCGCGCCGCGGACTCGGCACGCGGGCCGTCCGTTCCCCCGGGGGCGGCGCGAGGGGCGTCGGCGCGAAGGCGGCGAGATGCTCGCCCCCGCCCCGCGCAGGGCGAGGGGCGCGCATCTCGCTGAAGCGGCTGGCGTATAGGTTGACGCGGGACACCCTCAGAAGCTGGTGGCGGCGGCGGCGGCGGCAACGACGGCCGCTGAAGGCTGCGGAAGGAGGGGAGGAGGAGAGGGGCGAGGAGGAGGCGGAGGAGGAGGAGGGGAGGAGGAGGCGGAGGAGGAGGATGAGGAGAACGAGGAGAGGAAGGAGGAGGAGGAGGAGGGGGACGGCCCGTCCCCCCATGGCCGGCTCCTCATCCCGATCTCGGGGGAACCTTGAGGCGGGGGCCAGTGCACATGGGAGTCGGCCAGGGCGCGGGCTCTTGCAGGATCCAGCAGGGTCGGGTGCGCTGACCTGGGCCAGCGTTATGACTTATGATGTTCCTACCTACTTGAGCCTTGATCGCAGAATTTCGAGCACCATGAAAGCACCGAAACTGGTAGGTTTTCACGTGTCGGGCCCTGGGAGGCGATACGCGTTCGACATTGTTTCGATATTCTCCTGTGTGCTCGAAATTATTTCTGGGATGTGGCCCTTGAGTACGATGGGAGCAGCGTCAGGCTAGCGTGCAGGTTTCTGCAGGATGCTGCAGAGCCCGACTGACCCGGGTCTGGATGGACCCGGGCCACTAGGCCCCCGACGAGTCGTTCTCTGGCTGCCCCCCCCACGGTGAAGACACACCGGTCGCGATGTTTTTCGCGGCGCCCGCCTGCTGAAGGGAGGGTTCTGCCAGCCTCCGGCGGCCGTGCCCGGCAGGTGTCGTCGCAGTTGCCGCTGCGGGCGGCTCGGGCGGGCGAGCAGGGCGCGGCGTTCGCGTTCGCCAGCGGCCTGGGGGTGCGGGATCGCCAGGACGGCCCGCCCTCCCGCCGCTCGCCTCGGGGGCCACCAACGCCAGGGGGAGGGGACAGTTCGGCAGCAGGGCATGGGAGCCTCGTATACCCTCGCAACTCCGTGTTTTGAGTGCTCCAGCGTCGACTAGCGTCTGGTAATCGATGAGGTAGCGCCGACTTAGCGACGACTAGCGTCGATGAGCGTCGATTTAGCGTCGACTGGCGTCCATGTGCGTCGATTCGTCAGGGCCAAGAAGCTGGTATGGGAGGCTCCCATGAGTTGCCACCGAAGGCTCAGGTCGGGACGATCGAAATGGTACAAAGACCGACAGCATCCCCTGCTCATTTTGAGCAGGATTCGCTGTCGGCGTCGCATAGCCACACTTCGTCTGAAAATGCATGGTGGGGTGCTTACCGTGTTATCCGTGTACGCGCCGCACAACGGAATCGATTACGACATCAGGCATACATTCTACCACACTTTGCAAGACCACATTCGCCGCCCTACAGAACACTCTACATTTCACGTTCTTGGTGACTTTAACGCCAGGTTGTTCCAGAGAAAGGCCGGGGAGGAGGACGTCATCGGACCGCACTTGTACGAGTCGACAGATGGCAATGTGAACGATAATACTTCAAACCGGTACCTTTTGGTAGAATCTTGCATTTCGTCCGATTTGGTGATCGCCACACGTTCTTCGATCACCCCAATGAAAAGAAAGTTTCTTACCGTGACTTTGGCGTTCGCCCAATGGCGGACATCGAGGGCGTAGCATTCGCGCAACTTGATCACGTCCTATGCCACCAAAGCCTTCTCCCTACGATTCTGGATTCCTGGACCTGCCGGGAATAGCCAATCAATAGCCAACATGTTCTCACGATTGTTGAATTTACGCTTCACTTCACCGTTGGCGAAGAGCGTAAGAAGAAGGCATTGGACAAGAGGGCATTGAAGCAGACGGGTGCCAGACATGAGTTTTTGGAGGCGTTCAAAAGTGCGGCTTCCGCAAATCATACAAGGTGCAGCCTGGATGAATCAGCAGCTGATATTGAACAGGTCTTCAAGCCTGCCGCACCGACGTTGCCTAAAACAGATGTTCTCCCCAGACGTCCTTGGACCAGCTTACACACACTTGACCTTCTAAGGGAACGGAAAGTATGCCGGTTCACGGGGGACCACCACAACAAGAAGATGCTTAACGAGCGGATTCGGCAGTCCGGCAAGCAAGATCGCAAAACATGGTTGGAAGATTATGTGGGTAACGGAGGATGGGATGCCGTGAAATATTTGCGCAAGCAAAAACCATTCAAGCACGCAGACATCAAGAAACCGGATGGTACTTTATCAGTCACGGCGTAACGAGCAGACTTTATGGCGGATTATTTCGAGTCCGTGCAGTGGCAAAATCGGTATCCTGACCTCTTGCCAGACCGTCATACGATGCTCGGGAGTGCACTGCCCATGGGCACCGACAATTTCAACATAGATGAATTTGTAGGGCTTTAAAGAAGCTGAAATTTGGAAAGGCTGCTGGACCAGGCGACATACCATCATATTTCTGGAAGATTCTGCTCTATGCCAAAGACGCGAGTGGCATATAATTGCGGCTGCGTCAACAATGCTGGAAGCGAAAATGAATTCCAGAGTCGTGGAAAAAAAGTTAGAGTAGCATTACTGTTCAAAAAAGGAGACACTGCCCGTCCAGAAAATTACCGGCCTATCTCTTTGCTCTCCGTTGGCTACAAGATTTTAGCATCATTGATACACCAACGACTGATACGCGGAGGTTTCGAACAGCGCACGCGCAATTCACAATCTGGTTTCCGTCCAGGGCGTGGCATTGCGGACGCACTCATGGTTGTAAGGCGTATGATTGACGTGGCACACAACAGCTCTCACGACGGGATCATCGTGCTGATGCTTGACTGGGCCGAAGCATTCGATCTAACAGATCCGGCCGCCATGCGCAGAGCATTGCGCAGATTTGGGTTTCCATCCGACATGGTGGAAATTGTGAGATCAATATACGAGGCCCGCTTCTTCATTTGGGACCATACCAGGAGCTCTTCGGAAAGACGACAAACAGCCCGGATCGCACAAGGGTGTCCGTTTTCTCCGTACCTCTTCATTGCAGTTCAAACAATAATGTTTCACGATTCGATTGATGCGTTACATTTCCACCAAGAGCCAGAATACGCGGTTACGCGGAACGTGCTGCACGCCGACGACACGTTATTTGTATGTCTATTTGATGTGACGCTTCAATGGATGAATGAATGGATATGTTTGGGTCAGGATACAACTCTTTCGTTTTTTACCATCAGCATCGGCGATGGTCTATCCTCCGTCGAAAGCTGGCCCACTCCAGCTGAATCGCGCTGATCCGGCCCACTCCCGCTTAGTCTGGCTTGGACCCACTAATCCAGCCTAATCCAGCCCTTCCAGGTCTGATCCAGCATAATTCGGCCCAGTGGCCCCTTGATTGGGCCTGACAGCCATTCATCGTCCGGACGAAGACCTCCCACGAGTTGTCTCCTAAGTCCTACGGATGAGGGGATTGGGAAAAGGGAGCCTTGTATAGCCTCGTAGTTCCGTCTATGGAGCGCAGTGGCGCAGATTAGCGTTTGGTAGTCGATGGGATAGCGCCGATTCGCGTTGACGAGAGTCGATGTAGCGCTGATTAGCGTCGACTAGCGTCGCTTCGCAAGATATGGGAGGCCCCCGTGAGTTGCCGCAGAAGGGGGGGAACCGAACGCTGCCGCGCGCAGTAGACTCCAGCCGCGCCACACAGCCAGCGCCTTCCTCGGCACGTGGCCGCGTCTAGCGCTGGGAGGCGCCAGGGAGACCGACTGCACGCAGACGATTTACCAGCGCCCACCCCCCCTTCTAGGAGGCTTGCAACACAGCACCGATACCAACCCCGGGGGTTTGCCTCCACCGAGGGAAGAAAATCCCAGATTTTGACGGCTGAATTGTGGTAGTATTTCGGCCACCTGGGAAGCCCGCGTATTACCACTGCCCACCATCACCGAGATCGGGATCACCATCCCCCCCTGCGGTAGCATCGTTAAATAGGAAATCGCAGATCGTGGGAGGGAAACATATCCGTATCCACGGCCTCGCGGGCCGGGCCCCTGGGCCGCGATCCCATGGATACGGGGAGTTGTTTCGCGGATTCCCCGCGCGGAACGTCCATGCAACCGCGTATCCACGGGATCGCGCCTTGGAATCCAGACCGCGAGGGTGTGGATATGGATATGTTCGCCGCTCGTGAATAGAAGCGTTCGCGCGTTTGGGATTAGGTGTATATCGGCGAGTGGCGCCCAGTAGCGCCACGTAGCGCTCAAATATCGACCAACAACGCCCAACTGCACAATGTGAGGGAGATGCATTATGTCCGCTTTGCGCGCCATTGGGCGTCATAGGGAAGACCAAGCGCTTGCGTGTGGTGTTTTCTAAGGTTCGTGTCGTGTCGACGCGACGGCGACCTTGATGGCCCGGAATTTGCCGAAGGCGAGCGCGCGCCCAGACAGTGCATTTGAAAGCGAGCGCGGGCGTTCAAACTTCGGCGCCAACCAACGCAGATGAAGCAACCTGGTAAACCATCCAATTGGCAACATGTTCCACTGACTGTGCGGATGGGCATAAGGGCCGGAGGTTGGATCTGCATCGTGCAGGACCTCCTCGCCCCAGGGCCCCACGTCTCGGGGCCCCATTTGAGCGACCCAGAGAAAGCGGGGCCGTCTTCGCCGACATTGGCGCGTAAGCTGCCCGCGCTGGCGGCCCGCGTATGCCACCGGGTTAGGTCGCGATGCCATCTCGCGGACTCCTCCTCCTCCTCCTCCTCCTCCTCAGCCTCCTCCTCCTCCTCCTCCTCCTCCTCCTCCTCCTCCTCCTCCTCCTCCTCCTCCTCCTCCTCCTCCCCCTCCTATCTCCTCCTCCTCCTCCTCATCCTCCTTCTCCTCCTCCTCCTCCTCCTCCTCCTCCTCCTCCTCTTCCACCTCCAATCTCCTCCTCCCCCTCCTATCTCCTCCTCCTCCTTCTTTCTTCTCGTCGCCCCGATGTTTATGAAGCACCGACGGGATCGACGGGCCTTTCCTCGCGGCCCGCGCGGGCCGCGCACCCGCACCGAGAAGGCCACTGCTGCCCAGGGCCCCCCGTGCGCGCAGTCCAGGACCTCGCCAGGTTCTGCTCGCGGCGTGCCCCCCCCCCCCCCGAGGTCCAGTTGCCCTCCCTGGGGTTATGCAGTGGGTGCCGATGCCAAGAAACGCCCTGCTTGCCTCTAGGGTGCCCTTCGCTTCTTGGGTTTCGACGGTTTTGCGATGGAGGGCGCGACGCTCCTGCACCAGAGCTCAATGGACGTCCTGGGGTCTCAGGGTTGGGTTTCTTGTGGAGGGTCTCTAGTGGTCGAGCTCCTAGGTCTTGATACCCTCCAGGGGGGTAGAGTTTTTTGTAAGTCGGGACGATGTTTGTCACTATGTTTGGCTACTTTCGTGTAGTGTTGCCTATGTTTTACTGTTCGTCCAGAATCCGCCTGTAGGGGACACGCTCGACCCAAGTAGGGTAAGTGTTTCGTTTGTTGGCCTCTGCGGCCGGGGAGCGGCCTCCCTGATGCCGAGAGCGTTGACAAGGCCAGGCGTTACGATGTATGCCGGGGCGCCGGGATCGTCGGGCGGGTGGTGATGGGGGGGTGGCCTAAACGGTGGGCGGGGGGGGCGGGAAAAGGGCCTCCAAGGGGTCCTGTGGGGCCCCTCTGGGGCCCCTGCCGGCTCCAAGAGGTGCCCTGAGGGGCCCCATCGAGGGGCGCCTCGAGGGCCCTTCGGTTCACCCCCATGTAGGCCAGCCTCCACTACAGTCAACCCGTATCATGAGGACGCGCGGCAGGGATGCAAGGGCCATATGAGGCCATGTCGACTTTTTGTGAGCGGGGCGCGGCCAGCGAAAGTGGCCAAGGATGGACCGAGGAGGCAAGGATGCACGGGTACCCTTGGGGAAATCGCCCATCCTTGCTATGCGATGGTTGGCCCTTCTCCTCCTCCTCCTCCTCCTCCTCCTCCTCCTGAGGCGGCTGACACCACGGCAGCGCCGTCTCAGGCCCTCGGCGACTCGCCTCGCCCCACGGACGGCTGCCACCGCACGGGCCAGCAGCCCCTGGCGTGCTGCCAGGAGGGGCGCTGTACCAGGAACAAATGTTCGGCTAAACGTACGACGGACCCTGGGTAAGAGTGACCTGTGGTGCGCAGCTTTGTGGGGCCGCGGGGGGGGGGGGGGGGCCAAACACCAGCGCGCAAGACGCCACTGCCGCCGCGCCTTCGGCGGTCGAACCCCGCAAGGGCCCGCACCCGAGGTCACACTGGCGAAAGGTCACTCTTGCGTGTACAGTCAGAAGGATCTCTGGGCTGTTACGCCAGATAAAACGGGATTCAACCAAATCCTCTTCCTCCTCCTTCTGCTTCTCCTCCTCCTCCTCCTCCGCCCCCTGCTCCTCTTCCTCCTCCTCCTGCTCCTCCCTTCTCTCCTGCTCCTCCTCCTCCTCCCCGCTCCTGCTCCTCCCCCTCCCCACTCCTCCTCCTCCTTCTCCTCCTCCTCCTTCTCCTCCTCTTCATCAGCATCATCATTATCATCAGCGTCAGCATCAGCATCAACATCATCATCATCATCATCACCACCTCCATCCTCCTCCTCCTCCTCCTCCTTCCCCTCCTCATCCTCCTACGCCTCCTCCTGCTCCTGCTCCTCCTCCTCCTCCCCCTCCTCCTTCTCATCCCCTTCTTGCTCTTCCTCCTCCTCCTCCTCCTCCTCCCGACTCCTACTCCTCTTCCTTTTCCTCCTCCTCCTCCTCCTAGTCCTCATCCTCCTCCTTCTCCTGCCCCTCTTGCTCGAGGCCGGGGGATTGTGGAATACCTCGTCGTTGTCATATGGTTTTTATCGAGTGGGACGCTCCTTCATCTTTAGGGATCGATGTTTGTTCTTGCAATTGTCTGTTCGCCGTGACCTCATCATGATATGCGTCTCTCGTTGTATCGTTATCTCGCATTATGTCTCTATCTCTTTATATATATATCCTTACACTCGTTGCTGAAGCTGTACAGTTGATCTGCCAGCCTCGTCGCAACAATGCCCCCCGAGCATGGTCTTCGACATTGTAGCTCTGTGCCACACGGCATCCGTGGGTGGCGCGAGGTTCCTGCACAAGTGCCTGCGCCCTTTTCGCGAGGCAGTACTCAGCCAACGACGCCCTCGTTATGCTTGACGACATCAGGCCATTAAGCACTGAACTGTACAGGGACTTGAAGCGGCTGTTGTCCAAGCTCTCGGGCGGCGCCGACCCGCCTCCCGAAGACGGCCAGGCGTCAGATGCTGCCGAGAGGAGCCTCATCGTGTCGGTCCACAAAAGCACGCCAACGAACGGGCGCCTCATCAAGGTTTACCTTATCGAAAACCTCGATCGCGTTCCTGGTACGCGTAAGCCTGGGAAGAAGAGCGCGTCCAAGCGGCAAAACATCACGACGGCCATCGGCAAGAGCAGCTTGCGCCTCTTCTCGCAGTGCGACACCAACGCCTTGAGAACACCCCAAATGGATTACGACAGGATGATGTAGACTTGGGTGGCGTGCGGTGGCAAGGACGTTTTTGGGGACTGGGACGTATGGGGCAATCGTTTTGACCACGTTGACGCAACATCAACGCTTATGCCAGATGGCGCCGTCGAGTGGTACCAAATGGTATTGGAACACCTGGGCGCACCCGAATCTACGCTAGACTACACGAGCGCCTCGAGTATCCGATGCGTTGAAATGCCCGCGCCGAGGGACTTGCAGGAATACTCCAATGGCAAGGCGGATCGGCGGCAGGCAGTGCTGGACGCGTACATAGAGCGTTGCCTCAGCCACTACAACCGCGAAGAGGGGTCGGTCTCCGTGCCGGTTGACTACTGCATCCCTGCTCCACACGGGCGATCGCTGTGCAAGGGTGCCGCGGGCCAGAACCGCAGTCGGGATGCATGCCCCGTGGCATTCCCCGACTATGTCGACAGCGACGCCCCGCGTTGTCACCCGCGCTTGTTCAGGAAGGCATTAGAGGAACGCGGCTTGCGGAGCGGTGACAGATTCCCAACGGCCTGCCTGTTCTGCGAGGAATGCAGAAAATTGCGGATGGCCGTTGCCAAGTATCTGGGGCTCTTTTCTGGCGAGGCGAAGGTTGAGTTGATAAAGATGTTCTACGGTGCTCGCCCCGCCACTGACACCCCGTGGATATCGAAGCTGCCCCGCGAGATTGTCGACGGTTCCCACCTGCTGCTTGCTGGCGCGGAGTGCGCCGAGCACAGCGTCCACTACTCCGACCGCCCGAGCCCCGTCTTCAGCAGAGTCGCGGCCATTCTCTCGCATATGGAGAACGCCGCGTTGATGGCATTGGTGGAGAAGGTCCGGGCCGCCCGGGGCATCCGCGAGATCCTCATATTCGATGGGTTTTCAGCTAAAGAGGCCGATTTCCATGGCGAAGCAACCGTCTTGGCAGCCGTGGCAGAGGCGACGGCCGTCGCTGGCGTGGAATTCCAGATCAAATCGTGGCCGCGCAGGGACCAGCGCGCCCGCTTCGCCAGAGCGGCACTTCGAGGCTCGCAGACGGCGGTCGTCACGAGGAGGGATTGCGAGCGAGAGGTGGGGAATTGCGCGGTCTCGGAGGCAGGCTGGGCCAAGCCGCAGCTCAAGATCGCGCTTGACAAGGTGGCCGCGACGATGGCGGTGCAGGATTTCAACGCGTCCGAGCTGGACCACTCCCAGCGGGACTTTACTAAGAAGCCGGAACTCGCGAATGCGAGCGCGAACGACGTCTTCCACGGCGGTGACCACGAGGGCGCCGTTCACGGAGCCATGGAGGCACAGTCCGAGAATGCCCCCGCGCGTGACCACGGCATCAATACCGCGGGGGACGGCAGCGCGGTGCTGTGGGACCCAAAGGCGCCTTCAGTCGAGATAGGATTGCCTTTGGCCGACCTCGAGGCGTTCGCGGGGGGCAGAGATTTGAAGCGGCGCTCGCTCGAGGCGGCGGGCGCAGATGCCAGTTTGCCGACTGACGGCGACGACGCGGGCCGCGCGATCCCAGCCGCGGGCGCCGACGACCTGCCCCAGCCAGGGCGCGGTCTTCAACGCGCGGCGGACACAGAGGGCCACTTCGAGACGCACTTGCGGGCGCGCGCCCGCTGCAATTCCCCGTCGGCGCAGCGCGCGGGCACGCCCTCGCGCCCCGACATCTCTCGCTTGCTGCGTGACCTCCACTGCGCCGCGGAGATCTCAGTCAGGCCCTGGAGTGCACGAAGAAGGCGCGCATGCTCACCTGCGGCCCGAACTTCACGTGGGCCGGCGGCGATGAGGTGAATGCGGCAACGCTGGAGGACTTCGGGCGCTCGGGCGTCGTCTTCATCAGCAACCAGAGGGCGTTCACCACGCGTCACTCGAGGTGCCGCGGGAAGCGCATGCACCGTTCATTCGCCGCTGCTCGCGGCACCGGTTGGGTCGCCGAGGAGACCTCGCATAAGGCTGATGACGGCAACGGGAAAAGAGTTCGTGGCAGATAGCAGGAAGCTCCATCTCGACGCCATGATGCACGTGCTCGTTGCCCAGGAGATGCACCTGGCCAGGGGGCGCCGTGGGATCGTCATCTGTAGAGAGGTTAACGACGACACCTTCTCGAATATGGGCATCCACTACCACGGCACGGCGCCCCCCGCCGCGCGCCCGAAGAAGGCCGCCGCGCTCGCCGGGGACGGCCGCGAGAAGGTGCTCACCAAGTGCGCAGACGAAGGCAAGCAGAAGCTCGCAGCCAAGAAGCAAGCAGCGGCGATGAAGGGCGCCATGGCGAGAAGCCGCAAAACCACGCTCAAGACGCCCGCCCTCCGCCCGAAGGCAAAAAGCACTCCGAAGGCAGCAGTGGGCAAGAAGCCGTCCGCCGCCCCGCCGCGCTAGGAGCCGCCCGCTGCAGCGGCGCGCAAGGCGCCTTCCGCTGCGGCCGCGAGGCAGCAGGCCCAGTGCCACGCCAAGAGCAGGGCGGCGCGCCGCATGCACCACAACCACGGCTGGTTCATGGTTCCCACGGCAGAAGGGCGAATCGTTGCTGCGATCGATCCGAAGAACCCCGAGGGCAACGGCGTGGCGGCAGAGGCTTTGGCGCGGGCGCTGAAGACGCATCGCGTGGACACGTTCGTCCACGACAGGTGTCGCTCTTTCCACGTCTCTGCTAAGAAGTTGCCAGCGAGCAAGTTCATCAAATACTGGTCCGTAGACTGGGTGCACGTGAAGGGCCACGCCAGCAGCTCCCCTTGCAATCCCTACCGCGTCCAGCGATCTGAGTCGCCGCCTCAAGGGCACCAACACGCAGGTCGCTGAGAAGAGCTTCGCGCAGTTCAGGGGCTACGCGCGGCCGCTGAACGAGATGGTGCCCCTGCGCCTCAAGTTCCTGGTTCTCTGCGTCTCCAATCTGCAGAGCGATTTCATCGAGGATGGGGCTGTCGAGTACCTGTCGCCCGTCGAGAGCATCAGGACCACGCAGTCCAGAGGTGGGCAGTACGGGTGCTTGTAGAGTTGAAATCCGCTGAGCCAGCTATCGCAGTTATATTTGCATGTGCAGCTTCCCTGCGATTCTCCTCAGCCTGTGCGCTGAGTGTGAGTTGACCAGTATAGCGAGGCACCGCCTGCGCAAGTGCGAAGCTGATGTGCTTTGATGGAGTTTGCTGCTACTGGGGCCATGCGTTGCGTCATGGCAAAGTAACTATTCGGCAAGGTCGCGCGGGCGCAGGGCTGACACATGCTATGGTGCACCAGATGTACCAACGGGGCGCTTTGACAGTTGCGCTGAATGTGGGGGGGGGGCATGGTTCTTTATCACGATGTTGTTTAGTTATGGCGTGCTCTTATGGTTGGCAGCCGCAGGGGTGATGAGGGCACCTTTTGCGTTGTGTACTGGACCCGCTCGTGGTATGCTTCGCGCCAGCACATCGTGGATCCTTATTTGGTCGTGCGGCGAGCTTCCCCCCTCCAAACAGGCGGTCCTGTTTTTCTTGGGACAGGAGGATGAATCGCCCGATTCTGGAGGCGAGAGGAGGAGGACGAGGGCAGGTGAGAGAGAACGGAGGGCGCGTTCGCCTTCCACCGCCCCCCCCCCCCTCCCCCTTCCAAAAAAACGGGATCGTCCCGCGCTGTTGTTTGGTGACAGGGTGGTTAAACTTCGCACTTCTGAGAAAAAGGGAGGAAGAGGAGGAGGAGGAGGACAGTGATAAGGATAAGGAGGAGGTTGATGAGAAGGAGGAAGATGGGGAGAAAGAAGAGGAGACGTAGGAGGAACAGGGTGTGGACAAACGGCAAAAAATCCAGAGAGACGAGGTACTCCACAATCCCCCGTTCTCTCTTGCCCCTCCTCCTCCTCCTCCTCCTCCTCCACCTCCTCCTTTTGCTCCTCCTCCTGCTTTTCCTCCTCCTCCTCGTCCTCCTCGTCCTCCTCCTCCTCCTCCTCCTGCGCTTGCCCCTGCTCACGCTCATCCTGCTCATCCTGATCATCGCACCTCCTCCTCCTCTTCCTATTTGTCCTGCTCCTCCTGCTCCTCCTCCTCGTGTTCCTGCTCCTCCTCTTCCTCCTCACTCATCCTTCCTTCTCCTCCTCCTCCTCCTCCTCTTCCCTCCTCCTCCCTCCCCTCCTCCTCCTCCTCCTCCTCCTCCTCCTCCTCCTCCTCACTCACTCACTCACTCACTCACTCACACTCACTCACTCATCCTCCCTCCTCCTCACTCATCCTCCCTCCTCCTCCGCCTCCTCGTCCTCCTCCTTTTCCTCCTCATCCTCCTCCTCCTCACGCCTCCTTCTCGGCCTGGCAATGCACTGGCCTGAGGAAGACGACGCGTCCCCGGGGAGGAAGCTCCAGGGGGGGAGCCAGGGCCCGCCTCGCGGAGGAGGTCTGTCCCTCCCTGCCAGGGAAACGTACTCTGGGTGGGATGTTAATCGAGGGGTGGGCGACGAACCTTCCGATGGAGCTTGCCCCCCCCGCCCACCCTCCTCGACCTCCTCCACCTCCTCCTCCTCCTCTTCCTTCATTCCTTCTCCTGATCGGAAGCTTATTCCTGTCGCACCCCGATGCAAGTTTTTAGGGCGGGTCAGGCGTTTCGCCTGAGACTCCCTCACCATGTATGATTTTGAAACTTCAAAAGTGACAACATACTCACATTTTGAGGGCGGGCCGTTTTCAAAATGTGCCTCTCGCCTTAGCGCTGCGCACATTCATTCTTAACCAGTTGCAGAAGCTTCACGGATTGAGGGCGGGTCCATTACAAAATGTAGATATCGTTTTAGCGCCGCGCATATTCATTGCAGCACTTTGCAAGAGCTGCACGGAGTGAGGGCTGGTCGTTTTAAAATTGTGGTTCTCGCGTTAGCGCCGCGCATATTCGTTTCAAACGTTTGCAAGAGCTGCACGGATTGAGGGCGGGTCGTTTTCAAAGTGTGGTTTTCGCTTTAGCGCCGCGCACATTCGTTTCACATATTTGTAAGAGTTTCACGAATGGAGGGCGTGTGGTTCTCAACATGTGGTTCTCGCCTTAGCGCCGCGCACATTCGTTGTAAATGTTTGCAAGAGCTGCGCGGATTGAGGGCGAGTCGTTTTCAAAACGTCGCGCTCGCATTAGCGCTGCGCACATTCGTCTTATTCATTTGCAAGAGATTCACAGATTGAGTGCGGGTCGTTTTCAAAATGTGGCTCTCGCTTCAGCGCCGCGCACATTCGTTCTCAACAGTTGCAAGGGTTTTTCGGGTTCCCATGGTCAGCGTACCAGAAATGGCGTGTTGGAAGGATTCAGGATTATGCGGGTGCAACTGATATGTTGAAGTCCCACAAATAGCGCTCTGGCACGATTCCGGACCGTCAAGACGCAGTAGTCAGGTTGATACGTGGCGTTGAAATCCCGAGAACAATGTGTTGGCATGCGTCAGGATCGTCAAACGGTTGTCTTTCAACGAGGCACTTCCCTCGGTGGACATGAACCGTTCTGGGGGCCTTTGAAGAGGGAGTTTGGGGGGAGGGTTGATTCCAACATCGTTGACGATTCTTGGTTTTACACTCGTCCTCTTCCTCCTCTCACTCCTCCATTTCATCCTCCCCCTCCTCCTTCTCCTTTTCCAACCCCCCTCCACCCGTTCCGACAATCCACGTGGAGGGGCGATGAAGATCCGAGTTTTGTGGGCCCAAGGGGCGGGGGCCCATGCACACACGGGAAATCGAAGCTTGTCTTATGAGGGAAAAACAAGGCCTCGTTCCTGATTCAGGGTTCCTTGCGACAACGGCTCGACCGCACGATCGCCGCTCGCGGCGTCCGCGCGGGGGCCCAGGCGATCGAGGCTGCGCGCGCGGCGAGAGCCTAGGCGCCCACAGAGCCCCGTCGCTCGCCCTGTGGGGACTCAAAGTGTTCATAGCGCTCCTTGGGGCTGGGTCCGACCCTCGTACAGTCGGTCCAGATTAGTAGGTCGACCCTGCTAAATCAAGGGTACCCTTGTGTCCTGTGTCTCGCGACCCATGCCTCCTACATTCCTATGGTGCTGTGGCCCGCGGAAGGGTATTGTGTCCTCTCGCGTGTCCTGTCCAATGAAGTCCGACTGTAGAACGTCTTCGGGGCACAAAGGGTCGGGGGTCAATCCAAGCGAGGGTCAGTCAGAGCGCCGGAGCTTAGCATGATCCTGCAGAGCCGGGGGCGCACCGAGCTGGGTCCGTGTGCAGGCCTGACTGACCCGGGTCTGGATTTACCCGGGTCGGTATGTCCCGGAAGTGCGCCAGAATTCGGGCTTGTCGACTTTTTTTTGGCGCGCGTCCTGGAATTTGACGGTCCAGTTGATTGTCGGATGCTTGCAGCGGGAGGTCGCGTCAAATTTCAGGTTGTGTCTCGTCATCTTCTTGACGGCACTGTCAGACCAACCCGAGCCCCCCGTCATTGCCCGAGTCTTGCGCCTCCCCGAAACGGGGGGGGAGAAGCGTGCACCTTTCTCGTGGCCCTTTGGGGCACCAGGGGGCCCATTTCTTAGAGGAGGGCGTTTCGAGACACTGGTAGTTGGCCTTCAGGGCAGCCCCTCGTCGCCACGGCTGTACGCAGCGCGGAAAGCTGCTGCGTTTGGAGCCCCGGGAGGGACCGGGGACCGACTTTGAATTCCCAGTGCCTCAAATCGCCCTGCTCCTACAGGGTCCCTTTAGGGCACAGAAGGTGCACTTGTTTTTACGTTCCCACTGCGCAACTCCCCTCCTCCCCTTTACACAGCTCCTGAGAAGTCCCCAGGCCCGCGCGCGACCCGATCTTCGGTGTAGGCGTACGCCTCCTCTGCCCGATTTCAAGCAGTCGTGGGTTACGCGGGCAAGATTTATATCCACTGCGTTTTGGACTTTCTGGGAAGGGGCGCCAAAATGCCGAGGTTAAGACGATGTAATTGTAAATCGTACTTCAAGGGGCGACCGTTCTATTCATATCCACTGCGCCTCCTGGTTTCAGGGGAAGAGAGCCAGAAACTGCAAGGCGACGTGGATATGGGTGCAAAGCTTGCCCGAAGGTTCTGGACTGGATATGCTCTGCGCTACGGACCTTGCAACAAAAAGAACTCATCCCTAATTACTCCTCTCATTCCTCTCCTCTCCTCGCCGTTTCTTCCTCCACCAGGTCATCGTCTCCTACGCCGCGGGCGACCATGACCCGCGGATCATGATGCTGACGATGTGGAGACTCGACCAGGAAAGGGCGTTTATGCGTCACTGATCCCGACGTTGAGAAGACGAGGGAAAAGGATCAGGGGTTGGAGCCTTCGAACAGTGCTTGAAGGAAGTCGGAGAGGAAAGAAAGTGGGGGAGAGTAAGGATTGACGACGACTAATTGATTACGGCGATTTACTGCCGGCCCTTGACGTTTGGAAGCGCCTAGGTGGTCGAACGTTGTGGCCAGATCTCGGCCTAGCTATCAGATCATGTATCCCCCCCCCGTTGTGGAAACCCTTCAGGGGGTACGTGCGGGAGAAAGAAAAAGAAGATGAGGAGAGGGAGGAAGAAGGAGGAGGAGGAGGAGGCTTCTTGGGAGCTTCTTCGGTTACTCTTGGGGGCTTCTGGGAGCTTCCCCGGGGCCTCTTGGCGGCCTTTTGGGGGCTTCTTTGGGCCTCTGAAGGGCCTTTGGAGGCTCCTCGGGAGGCTCTTTGGCCGTCTGAGGATTCCTGGCCCGTCTGACGCCGTAAAGAAGCCGGGTGGCCTGTCTGGCTTTTTTGGGGCGCTTCAAGGCCGTCTTGGAGGCCATCTTGGGTCTCGGGGACCGTCCTGGAGGCTTTCTAGGTCGTCACGGGGCCTTTTCGAAGGCCTCTTGGGCGCTCTTGGAGCCATCTTGGTGGCCTCTGAGGAGGAGGAGGAGGAGGAGCAGCAGCAGCAGCAGGAGGAGGAGGAGTAGGAGGCCATCTTGCGCTGTCGGAAAGTCGAAAATGACAGAGCGCCAAAATCCTTGAAAGACCTTAGGGAAGCCAATGATTTGGGCCTCTTCGGGCCGCCCTGGAGGTCCTCTCGGAGCCTCTGGAGCCGTGTTGAAGACCTCTGGGGCCGTCTTGGGTGATCTCGGGATTTGGAGGAGTGGCGGCCCGTCTGGGAGACATATTGGTGTCATTTTGGGTTCTCTTGGGGCCCTTGCTGCCGTTTTGGAGGCCAACCTGGAGGCCATCGTATGGCCATCTCAGGGGAAGACCAGACCGGAGACCGAGATCGGTGAGGTTTTCTGCAGGGCCTGCGCCATTGGGCCAAAGGCCTTTTGTGATCCTTTCTAGAAAGGGTGAAAAAATCAATACAATTTGGGGCGCCGGGCACGGGGCCTGCTGGCGGTCTCGGAATCATCTTGGGTCGGAGGTGGCTCGAAATGTCGGCTCGTGTTCCCCCTGTTGGGTCTCTCTTGGGGCCTTCTTAAGCAGTTTTCGGGGCATCTTGGGCCGTCGTAAGGCCCTCTTGGGCCGTCTGGGGGTTTCGTGTGGGCATCAAGCCATTGGGCCGTCTTGAGGCGATCTCTGGAGCCTTTTGGGCCGGCTTGGAGCGTCGAGGCCCCGAAAAGGCGGGAACGCTAAAATCTTGGGGCAGTATCGGGCAAGTTGTCAGAGCTCTCGTTGGGCATATTGGGTGGCCTCGTGGGCCGTCTCGAGGCCGTATTGGGCTTTTGGAGCGCTCCTGGCCCGATTCGAAGCGTGTATACATACATGCATGCAGGCATGCATGCCTGCGTACATCCATACATACCTACATACCTACACACATACATCTACACATACGATGGCTTTCTATCCATCCCGCTTCGCTGGGATGTCGCGGTGGGCCCCTTGTGGGCAGTCTGGAGGCCTCTTGGGAGCCGTTTTGGAGCCTCTGGTGGCATATTGGAATCCTCTTGGGGATCTCTTGGGGCCTAGCGCTTCCTGGGGGCCTCCTGGGGGCATCTTGGGGCGGAAGACTCGGATTGTCCGCTCATGTTCCCCCTCTTGGGCCCTTCTTGGGGCTGTCTCTGGGCCATCTTGGGCCATCTTGGGCGCCTTTGGGGCCGTCTTGGAGCTCTCTTGGTCCGTCTGGGGGCCCTTTTGGGTGGTGTTCGGCTGCCGCGCGACGCCACTCCGCTCGGCATAGTGCCTGGGCGAGGGGCGGGGCTGGAAGGAGCGTAGGTTGGGGCGCAGGGGGTGCTACACGGATTGTTGTGGTGCCACCAGGTTCGGCAGCACTGCTTACGTTTTATCGCAAAGACTTGGCCAAGCAAGTAAAAGCGTGTCGGGCTCGCTGCGCCGAGAGTAGGGGGTGACTTCTGGTTCGCGAGAAACGGACGTAACAAACCAGAGCCCGACACATGCAGACACACAGACGCACAACAATTCACAAGCACTTCTGTTTGGTGTCGGGGCCACGCGCCCGAGCAAAGGTCGGACGAAAACACGCGACACAAGCACACAAACCAACCGCTGCAAAAGCGGTGGCAGGTATTATTTGCCATCCTCGATGCCATTTCCTTCCTGTTTTCCCTCGTCCTGCTCTGTCCTCTTTCCCCCTCACTCCCGGCCCGTGGGTTTCGCGACTTCCGCCCCTTCTCCCCGACCGCCCAGTCGTATTTACCCTCCCCTCTCCATCCCCACTACCCCCCTCGCGCTCACCCCTCTCTAGATCCCAGTCGCCCTTCCTCCCCAGCGCAAGGAGAAGACAGGGCGGCGCGGAGGGCGAGGTGCAATAGCATGCGATCGGTGGCGACGACAGGGCCGTCGTGATGCCGGCTCCCATTCTTCCGCCAGGGACGAAGTGCATGCATCCTGGCAATGCGCAGACGCTTGGGTTGGATATGGCCCGGTTTGAGGCGCAGCACGTTTACACCAATTCGTCGATTCTGAAGGATAGGCTGGGCACCGTCAAATTCTTTTGACATTTTGAAGCTTTCCTGGGTTCGCGTTTCGTGCTTCCGTGACGTTGCGTTTCGTTTCGTGGCGTGGCCTTCTGTCCCACGCTGCTCCCCGCGGTCGCCCCCCCCCCTTCCCCCCCCTTCCGGGGCCGCGAGCTGTTTTTGAAAATTGCCCGCGGCGGTGCATCCCCGAGCTTCCTGCGTTGGGTGCATACTTTTAGATAGAGCGCTGCAGTCTCCACCTCCTCCTCCTCCTCCTCCTCCTTCGCGCCTCCCGTTTGTTCTTTCCCCGGCCGCGGGGCGACGTCCTGCGCGGACCGCCGGGGCACTTCGCCATCCTTGCGAGGCTGCGATCCGCAAAGTTGCCGGGGGCGCGCCAGAGTGGCGCCCCACGCAAACCGCCAGGAAACCTCGCCATCCTTGGGGGTTGCGATGTGCGAGCCGCAAAATCATCGCAATTTTCGGGGCGATCGGAGCGTGCAGCGGAGCGACGTCCAACGCGGACCGCCAGGAAACTTCGCCATCCCTGTGGGACTGCGACATGCGCCGTTTGCGAAGGTTCTTGGGCGGTACAGCGGAGCCACGTTTTACGCGGACCACCAGGATACCTCGCCATCCCAGAGGCGCTGCGATTGGCGAGTTTGTTTTTCCGATGGGCTCCTTGGTGGTGCAGCGGAGTGACGTCTTGCGCTGACCACCAGAGGACATTGCTGTCCCTGGGCGGTTGCGATTTGCGAAACGTTCGCGTTTTTCGAGGGCCGCTGGGGGGTGCAGCGGAGTGACGTTTTACGCGGACCACCAGGAGACCTCGCAATTGGCGTGGTCCAGCAGGGTTGCGCCTTTTTCTCTGTTACCTGAGAGTTGTTTCGGGTTCCGGGGTCGCCAGGACGGACGCGGAGAAACTGTCGGGCGAGGTGGGTTTTTTCCCGCTTCTTTCACGAACGATAAGCAGGTTTAACCATTAGTTCGAGCGCCGCGGGGACATGGTTCAGGCAACGCTGCATTTTTAGCGCGCCACCGACAAGCAGCACCATGTCGTCCCTTCCCGTCACTTTTGTCGTCGTCTTCTGCCCCCTGTCACCGGCTGCTGCCGCGCTGACGGTTCGGCCACCCGCGCATTTGTTTTTTTGGGCCTTCGTTCTCGCCCCCATGTTTTCCTCAATGTGTTGCATTCGCTTGTTGTTCTGTCGCTGTTGTCTTGCCAATAGTTGCCAATGGCGCCCGCGCGGCCATTGCCCTGGCACCTTCGGACAACTCCTGTCGTCACTTGATGCGAATGGGTTGGGCACGTCACCGGGTAATTCGCTTTGCGATGCCAGGATTGGATTGGTTTGCGCGGGCGGGGCGCGCCAGGCTTCGTTTCGGGGCGACCCCAAGTCGTTGTGGAACACGGGCGCCTCGTCGACCGTTTTTTTGTTTTTTCCAGCGGGCCCAATTTGTTTTGCGTCGTCTCGTTAGTTTAAGACCCCAAGTTGTTCGGGCCACCCAGTCTCACCTTGTTGACCTGGGTTTGGGAGCCACGTGGAACGATCCTGTTCCCAACAATCCCGTTGTGTTCGGTCCTCGCTTTGACGAGACAGCGCCCCGCGCCCTCTCCTCCTCCGTTCATATCTTCCTTATCCTCTTTTCCCTTTCCCCCCGAACCTGCCTCCTCTTCTACGCGTGTCGCCGTCACCGTTCGCATCGTCATCATCGTCGTCATCGCCACCGCTATCGCCATCATCCACATCATGAGAACCATCACCATCATGAGGGCCAGCTTCGTGGAACGCCCTCCACTTCCCAGTCCGCCCTCGTCCCATTCGTGCTTTCGCCGTCCGCGTGTTTTTGCACACTCCTCGCACGCTCCGTGGTCCCAGAAGGAGTTCGACCGAACGCCACATCATCATCGCCATCGTCAGCACCGTGCCTTTGCTCCCCGCGTGCGCACCGTTGCGGCACACCCTCCACACGGTTCGTGGCCCCATACTGGTCCCACTGGCAGGGTCCGTGCGCGCCTGGCGCCCACTTTTGGCGCACGTTTCGCACGGTTCGTGGCCCCATGGGGGGTTCCATCGAAAGGGACCAATGGCACGGTACGCATGCGCCCGACGCCCGTTTCGGCACGCTGCTCACGCGGTTCGTGGTCCCATACAGAGCTCCGCCGAAGGTCCCAGTGGCAGGTCCGCACGCGCCCGACGCCCATGTTGGCGCACTTCTCACACGGCCCATGGCCCCATAGGTAGTCCCACCGACGACCCAGTGGCAAAGTCGGCATGCGATTGACGTTCGTTTCGACGCACCCCTCACACGGTTCGTTGTCTCGTGTGGGAGTTCTACCGAAGGCCCCGGTGGCAGGGTCTGCATGCGCCCGACGCCCAAATTGGCACACCCGTTGCACTTCTCGTTGCCTCGCAGCGAGTTCCACTGAAGACCCGGTGGAAGAGTCCGCGTGAGCCCGACGCCTATTTGGCCGCGCGCGGGGCTCAGGCCAAACCAGAAAAAAATATTTGTTTTCATATAAAAAACGCTCGCCCGCGTCAGTTTTTGTTCCCCCCGTCCACGCCGCAGCCCCCTCGTCGGCCCCCCATATTTCGTCCCACCTGCCTCGCGATTCGCAGCTAAATATGGTTGGGTCCTTCCTCGGGCTCACGTTTCCACCCTCAGCTGGCCCGGGTTTAAGAGGTACTGAGCGACTGGCCAAAGATCGCGATGTGGCCTTGGATGGTTTGTGTGCGTGCTGACCTCATCCAGCGCGTTCCCGGATACAGGCTTCTTGGGGCAACGCAGCCAGAGTGTGCACATAATGGCCCAGGTTTTTCGCGGCTGATGTTTGACAATCGTGGCGTGCTCGGCACGAGGGCGGGCGATGCCGGGCCGCAGAGTGCGTTTCATCAACAGATGGCGTAAGATCTCAGCCAGCAGGCATATCCGTGCGCGTTTGGCTCGCGACACACATTTTCATTACCAAAGCACCCAGTGCCCAGACGCATCCGGCCAACGAAAGATAGCGTTCGGCCTCCAGGGCCATTCCCGGGCCACGGACAGTCGAACACATGACCAGGACGAGAATGGTAGCGGCCACGATCTGTCATTGCCCGCGGGCCGAACAGTCTTAATCGTCGGACGTAATCGTTGTTCCACTTGGTTTTAGGCATCCAATTCTTCACGCTGCGAGTATACCCACCAGCTGGGATGCTTGAACCGGTCACCTCTAATGAGGGTCATTTTGTCCCTGGCACGTGCACTCGCACATGCGGCCTACGCGCCACTGCGGCCAATTATCTACGTTCTGCGCCCCAGACGTTTATCCCGCTTCTTGACCGTTGTCCTGGAGCCGCCAACCAAAAAAATATCCCCACCAGCCCTGCTGTTGCCTGCGCGCGTGCTAGGCAATTAGTTCCGTTGGCATCCCGAGCCGACCTGTGACGCCACCGGCGCCTTCGCTTGCGGCTGCGACCAAAAAATATCCCCACCAGCCCATTCAGAAACCCTGCCCATGAGAGATGACGGGAAAAAGGACGAAGAGACACATCTAGGGAAACAAAACGGGCAACCGGGGTGAACCGAGAGATCTCTGGGAGCAAAGGGTTGGCCTTTGAAGGCCCCTTCGGACCATCCCTGGGGGCCGCGAGGGGAAGAGGAGGAGGAGGACGAGGACGAGGACCCTCAAAATCGCCTCGTGGAGCTCTCCTGGGGCTCTTTGGGAAGGTATTGGAGCTCGCTCTGGGCTCTTAGGGGTCTTGGGGCCCTCTTTGGGCTCTCTTGGAGCCCTTTCGGGAGCCCTGGAAGGCCTCCAGGGGCCATCTTGAATGCCATCGATCGAAGGAGGAAATGGTGTAACGTTCAGCCCCCCCACCAAAGAGGCCAAAATGGGGCCAAAACCATAGTACAACCAATGATTTGGACTTCCTCGCCGAGGCCGTTTTGGACGCCTTCACACTTCTCGGAATTCCCAGAAAAGTCCAGGGGAGGGGGTGTGGGGGAGGGACAAACCCCTTCCCGTAGGGGAAGAGTTTTTTTTTTTTTTGAAGAGGGACAGGGATCTCGTTAGACTACCTGCGTCCAGAAGTCTGGTGGGATTAGTCCCCTTGGATGAATATTTTGAGACCATGTGGGTGTTTGTTTGAGGCTCGGCTGTGTGTTGCCGTCTCGGAGGGCATGGTACCTCCAAGGGAGGTGTTCGTGCCATTTAGGAACGTACTTCGGCCGTCCAGCGTGTCTGGACGAGGCCGTAAACCAACTCTGTCGTCTTGGGACCGTCTGGCCCAGTTGGGGGGGGATGGGGCCCAAGTCAGTCTGCTGATGGGCTCCATGTTTGAGGCCATGCGGGGCAACACCCGTGATTCCCCATGGAGTTGTCAGGACAATTTCTGGTAGTCTGCAGGGGTAGCAAGGAACAACCGATTGGGAGCGCATCTGGATCGTGCGGAAAACACATACGGATAATTGCGTGCGGCATTGTCAGTAGAGTAAGGTATCCAGAGACTCGGATTGGGGTCCTCTTGGCACATCGTGGGAATAGAGACGGAAATTCACAAAACTTTGAAACGCGAATTCTCCCAATTTTTCGTTGCAATATCAGAGCGTCCTGGGCCCCCTCTTTTGGTTGTATTTGTGTTTTGTAAGGCCGCCTTGAAGCCATTTGGGGCCATTCTTGGGTGTCTTGGGTTCCCGTCTGGCGTCTTTGGAGGGTTCTTTTGCTCCCTTGATTGTTGGGCGGCGTCCATATGGAAATTGAGGGACCCCGCAAGGTGATGTTTTTTCCGACCCTGCGGGTTCCATTGGTGAGCGACCTCTAGGAGACAATGGAAGAGCTGGTTGGTTGAGGAAGAGAGAGGCCACAGGAAACAAGAGTCAGGACTGACAGAAACGAAGACGACGACAAGCAACGACAATATGCACCAGCAATATAGCATGGGCGAGGCATGCCGACCGCGTCGCCCCCGCGCCGATGTCCGCGATGACGGTCCCTCGGGTCCGCCTCCAGGGGGGGGCATGCCAGAAAGACAATCGGCGCCGAGATGTTTCAGCCAGATAATGAACTTTCTTTCCACCGTGATGGCGCCGTGGAACGCGGGATGCAGCAGGACGAGGCCCCCAGCTTTCCTGCTTCGGTCGCGGTGGTTCGTGCGGCCTTCGACGTCGTGCGTTTGGGTTGCCTTCAGACCATCCGTGTCTCTGTCTGTCTGTCTCTCTCTCTCTTTTTCTCTCTCTCTCTCTCTCTCCCTCCCTCTCGCTCTCTCCCGTTCTTTCTCTGCACCATTCTCCCATCCCTCTCTCTATCCTTCTGGGTCCCTTTGTTTCATTGTCCCCTCTCTCCCCTGATGTTTATTTGTTTAACTTCTCAGCATCATACGTATTGGTGTGCAGCATGCAGTTACAGAAGCAGGCTTGTGTACATGTACGCATACACGGAGTGTTAGCCAGCGTGGACCCCAAACAGTGTGCCCTTAGCAAACGAATGTGTGCAATATAGGTGATGCCATCCCTGTGACGTTGGGCTATATATGTGTGTATGCATGTGTATATATATATATATATACATGGTTGTATGTGTGTATGTATGTATGTATGTGCGTGATGCAGTATGTGTGTTTCGATCCACGTTGTGCAATATATGTGTTGTTCTATGTGTGGTGCAAGCTACGTGCTGTATTATACAATGGTTGGAGCTATGTGGTGCGATCTATGTTGTGCAATTCATTTTGATTGTCTTGAAGCTTTTGATTGTCTTGAAGCTGTCCTCTCCACTGCTCGTGCAAGCATCCCGCCCTCTCACCCGCAACTTGGTCGCACGACCTCTTGGGACCGTGACGGTAGGTGCCAAATTGCATTTGGCAGCGGCACCGACGCCGACGACGACAGCGACAACGACGACGACGCCGACGACGATTACGACGACACCGACGGCGACTCCGACGATTTCGACGACGACAACGACGACGACACCGACGACGACGACGACAATGACAACGCCGACGACGACGCCGACGACGACGACGACGACGCGAAAGACGCCGACGACGGCGACGACGACGACGAAGACGACGACGACGACGTCGCCAACGAAGACGACGACGACGAGTGAGGAGGGCGGACGACGACGGCGACAACGACGACAACGACAAGGGAGGAAGGATGACGGCGACGACGCGAATGACGAAGAAGGAGGGAGGACGGCCACGCCGACGATGACAACGACGAGGGAGGAGGGAAGACGACGACGACGATGACGACCAAATAGGAGGGACGACGACGACGTCGCCAACGAGGGACGACGACGACGACGAGGGAGGAGGACGGACGACGACGACGACAACGACGACCGAAACAACGACGACACCAAAGAGAACGACGACGACGACGACGAGGAAAGACAGGACGACGGCGGTGACGACGACGACGACGACGACTCAAGATCGCGCGCGCACGCTTTTGTTGAAAGTCAGTATTGTGAAACCATGTTTTTAATGTTTTTTTGGGCACTTGATTTTGAAATCCGTCCGAAAATAAAGGTTTTCCCTAGATTTCGGCATGCGCGCGGGACGACGCGCGCGCGTGCATTTCGTCATATTTGTTGCAAAGGATTCTCGCGACGGCACGCGCGCACGGGCGTTCGAACGATTTCGACATGCGCGCGCGAAGCCCGTTTGGTAGCATGTTCCGGAAATTGCGAAAAACCTAGAATTTCTTTGAGATTTCGCAAGGACACGCGCGCATTTTTTAGAGCACCAGTGTTGCGAAACCCGGTGTTTTTGTTGCATTCGATTTTGAAATCCGTCCGAAAACGAAGGTTGTCCAAAGAGTTCTCGCGACGGCACGCGCACACGGGCGTTCGAACGATTTCGACATGCGCGCGCGCGCGAAGCCTCTTTGGTAGCATGTCCTCGCAATAGTGAAAACTGATGGTTTCTTCTAGTTTTGGCAAGAGTATGCGCGTATTATTTTTTAGAACACCAGTGTTGCGAAACCCGGTCGTTTTGTATGTCTGTTGGTAACTCGATATTAAAATCTTTCCGAAACCGAAGCTTTTTGACGGATTCCGGCATGCGCCCGCGACGACGCGCGCGCGCGCACTTCGTCATATTTTTGCGCGAGGTATTGTTGGACCTTGTGGTATTTGATGAACGAGTGCACGCGCATACTATTTGTTGCTAAGAAGCCGAAGGAGGGGGTCGATACCGGCTTGGCCGGATAGTATGAAATCTTGGTTAGGATGGATGATGGGGCACAACGTGTACATTGCAATACGAAAAGGGGGGTTCTTTAAATCCGGGGGGAAGGACATAGAACCGACCTTCTTCTTTAAAAGAGATCGGAGAATCTATGTGGTGTAATATATGTTGTGACATGTTTGTGCTGCAGTATACGTAGTGCAACCTACGAGGTGCAAGCTATGTTGTTTAATACGCTCTGCTTAACTTGAAGTCGTCATCTCCACTGCTCGCGCAAACATCCCACCCTCCCACCCGCAAGCTGTTTGGCAAGTCTCATGATGCGGGGGACGGCGGCGCCACCGATGACGACATCCTCACTGCCGGTGCTCGTCACCGTGAGTCGATGATGAAGGTGATCATAGCGACGATACTCGGACGTGCGCGATGACAAGATGACGTCGGCAACGTCTGCGACCATGACGAAAATGGCACCAGCGCCGATGATGTTCAGTAGGACGGCGGCACGAACGATAACGGTGCCAATGACGTCAAACACGTGGACGATGTTGATGACCATCTGTCGATGAGGCAAGTGACCGCAGTGATGCTGACAAGGTTGAACAGGAAATTCGCACGCACGGGAGTTCAACAAATCCGTCAAAGTGATCATGCGCGCGCGGCGGTGCGCGCGCGTGGCCCGCGTGGTATTTGTTGCAAGGGATTCGCGCTTTCGGCGCATGACGGGAGTATCGCTGGCGCACCGCGCAGTGACATGAAATCGCTGGACTTGGCAGAACCATGAGATCCTTATGGTTTCTGCATGGCTTTAGCACGAGCGCGCGGACAGGAAATTTGCAAATTCTGCGTCGCCGAACCTTTCGGTTTGTTTTTCGGTTTCTATGTTGAAATGTTTGCAAACACGTTGTGTCTGGCACGATTTAGGCGTGGGCACGCGCGCGATGACTGCGTGGTATCATTTACAGGGGATTACTGGAATTTGCTTTCCTGAGACGCAGAAGTGCGCGCGCCTCGTATTTGTCGCAGAGGATGGCGGGGGGTCGACGTCGGTTTGGCTGGGAAAGTTTTCGCAGGTAGGATGGACGAGCGCGTGGAATTGTTATGACGTCGCAATACCCCATGGGGATATCGTTAACTCCAGCGTGTGTGTGTGGGGGGGGGAAGGGGGGGGTAGAGCCTCTTCTTCTTTTAGAAAGGAGGTGAATTTTCGTGGTGTCCTCCATATTGTGCTACATGTGTGGCGGTATCCAGGTTGTGCAATATTCGTGGTGCAATTCATGTTTAAACATTTTGAAGTTGTCAATCCCACGGTTCGCGCTGCTATCGGTCCACCCGCCCTCAACTTAATTAGCAGAAAACCCAATGCGGCGGCGATTGCAGTGACTCCTTGACGATGGTTGGCGCATCGCGGCGGCCGCGCTGGCGCGCGCAGGTTCGCGCGCAGAGCGGCCAATTAGTCAGGCGCGACCGATGCGGCCCAGGTGGCGCTGAATACTGAGGACTACCCAGCGCGTTTCCCATGCCGCGCTGACGCGCGGGCGTGCCAGTGCAAGTCGGCGTCTCGGGCGGGCGCGGTATCATGGCGTTTTCGACACTGACAGACGCGAGGGTTCCTGAGAAGACCCGCCGCCCACTGAGAAGGCCTTCTCCTTTTCACCCCCCCCCCGCTCACTTCCCCCCTCGCTCGCCCGACTTTTCGGTCGGCGGAGCCCTCTCGGCTTTTTGGGGGCTGCCGCGACGGCGGGCCGCGGCCGTCCACGAGTTTTTTTGCCGCCTGGCCGGCGTGTTTCTTCACGGGCGACGGGTAACAGGAGGGAAAATGAGGAGGAAAAGGCGGTCGAGGAGGAGGAGGAGGAAGAGGAGGAGGAGGAGGAGCAAAACGTTCGAGGTCTCCTAGATGGGTTCCGACTTGATGGGGTCGGAGGATCGTGCCGCATCGGCGATGCACCGGCGATGTACCGACGACGTCGGCGATGCATCGGCGCCGTCGCCGTGGGGAAAATTGGGTTCCACATCGAGCCGCATCGCCGACGCGTCGGCGATGCGGCGCGCGATCCTCCGACCCCATCCATTCGGACCCCATCTGGGAGGCCCAGAGATTTGAAGGAGGCGCAAGGGGTCCGACGTCGGATACTCGACCTTCTTCCTTCAGGAGGGGACGATCGTTGACTCCAAACGAAGAGAAGGGGAAACATGGGAAGTGGGGGAAGACGAAATCTCACAAGGTATAGGAAGATGTGGGGAATCCTGTGATTCGTGTCGATTCCTGGGCCCCTCTATTCCTGCTGCTGCCTCGGCCAGGCGACCGCCGACTAGCTCGGCCGCCGCCGCGCTGCCGCCCGCGGCGGACTTCGAGAGGCCCGTGGCCGTGTGCCGGCCCCGCGCGTCGCCTTCTTTCTCGTCGACGTTCAGCGGGTGTGGAAAGGGACCCGAATGGTGGGGCTGTGGTGTGAGTAGCAAGGAAGCCACCCCGACCCTGACAAGTGGCGTTTACTAGACGGCCCTGGGCGTTTACTAAACGGCCCAGCCCTGTTCGATTCATTCCACGGGTGCGTTTACGAACGGCTTCGCTTGTCGGGGTGCTTATCCTGGGGGTGCCTTTTCGGATCTCTAGAGTAGGGCCGAGGGTCAGAGAGCGCCTTCCTCTGCAGGACCACCAGAGAAAGGGACGTCAAGGTGGTCAAACGCCCCGCTGGTTCAGCCGACGAAGGTGTGGAAAATCCAGCCATTCGCTATGTCCAAGGTTGTGGCTTGACGCCAGGTGTGGTGCATTAATTTCAGCTTGACCGAGCAGGTTGGTTGCGCCCTTTGACGTTCGTTTGGGGTGTCATGCAGACCTGACCCCCCAGCCCTACCATGGTCGGGGGCTTTGAGACGGGGTCTGTGCAAACGGGGGTCAGCCAGAGCGCCTGGTCTTGTCGGATCGTGCAAAGCCAGAGTTGCACTGGCCGGGGCCAGCACCCAGTATCCTGCAGGATTTTGCAGGATCCTGCGAAGCCTGACTGACCCGGGCTTGGATTGACCCGGGTCAGCAGGAGCCCCATATTAGGGGGGCACCACGTTGTTCTCATCGAGCCTCGGGGCGCGGCGGAGAACTCTGGTCGAGGTCCTCGCCCGCCCCGACCGGGGTGTGGGTTGCAACAGGGCTGGACCTAAAGGTTGCTTTGCTGGACTTCGGCTGTGTTCTGTTGTTCGTTTTGGGAGGGAGGTACAGGAAAACAGGTAGAGCGAAACGAGAAACAACACGAAAAACAATGTTTACGTCCAGCCCTGGATTGGAAGTCACACCCTCGGCAAACCACATCCTCTGGGAGTCACCGATCCTTGGCGGAGCCAGTGGCGACGTCGGGCCGCTTTTGCCTCGGAGGAGGTCCAGGCGAAGCAGAGGCGGTCCTCCCTGGAGGTTCTCGCCCGTGCTCTCGGTCTCCTCCTCCTCCTCCTCCTCCTCCGCCCCTGCTCTCGGCCTCCGGAAGCCTCCTCCTCGCCACGGCCGGATCCGCTTTTACAAACGGATCTGGAGTGCGCCTTAGCGCTCCCGCCGTCAGGGTCCATCTCGATGCGATCAATCCGATTTTTGATTCGGCGGCGAGCGAGGGGGGGAAGTGAGAAGGAGGAGGAGGAGGAGGAGGAGGAGGAGGAGGAGGAGGAGGAGATGGGAGATAGGAGGAGGAGGAAGAGGAGGAGGAGGAGGAGGAGATAGGAGCCGTCGGCGGCGAGCGAGGGGGGAACTGAGAAGGAGAGGGCCTTTCCTGAAGGCGGAGGGACTTCTCAGAAGCCCTCGCGCCCTCTGCGAAAAAACACAGGGAATGGACGTTCGAGCGATGGCCAGTATCGGACCTCCTGGAGGCTTTTCGTCGCCATGGTCGGACCCGCCCCGACAAGCGGCTCCGGATGGACCCTGGGAGGGGGCCCAGGAACGGACTGTGAGTGGCTCTGGGCGGTGCGAGAGAGCAGCCGCTGTCTCGAGAACTGGCCCTCCTCTGGTTGCTCGGGGGTGGACAGAACCCCCACCCTGACACGTCGATTAGTGAATTGTCCGTTTTCAGTTCTCGAAAGGGCGCCGCGGTCGTCATTTTCCAGGCTTGCGCCTGGCGGGTTTGGGCCCGAGGTCGTTTTCCCTAAACCACGTTTTACTAAAGGGGGTTCTGTCCATCCCCGAGTTGCCGCGCCTCGCACGCCGAGCAAGTTCGCGGGAGGGGAAGGGGGGAGCGGACAGAGTGTCGAACTTTGGACCACGACGACGAAGTGTCGACGACGACGATGACGACGATGACGATGCCGATTTCGACGACGACGTGTCGACAACGACGAAGACGACGACGACGACGATGACGACGACGTGTCGACGACGACGACGACGACGGCGACGACGACGACGACGACGACGACGACGACGACGAGGGCGACCGAAGGCCGCCACGGGCTGCTGCGGCCGTGCGCGTGCCCGCCCGTGCTGCCTGCGCGGCGGCAGCTGCGCTCCCGCCCCGCCATAGGCGCGATGGAGGGGGGGCACGGGGAGGCCTGCGACGAGGGCGGGCAGCAGCACCTCCCCCGGCTCCGGGCCGGGGGGGGAGGGAGTCGGGAGCTTCGCGGCGGGGGTCGATGCAAACGGGGGTCAGCCAGGGCACCGGATCCTGCAGGATCCTGCGAAGACCCCCTCTGGCTGACCCGGGTTTGCGAAGACCTGCGTTGCAGTTCGTTGTTCCTGCATTGCAGTTGTTTGGTTTCTTGCTGACCCGGGTCTGGATTGACCCGGGTCAGAAGATCCCCGAAGGAGAAGCGACGCCAGGCACCACCAGGGGACCCCTCTGAGGGCCTCTCGGGGCCTCCTCGGCGCCTCTGGGAGCCTCCCATGGGGGCCTCTTGGGGCGGAGGCTCGGAGGTGCGGTCCGCGCAGATTTCGGAGCTCGGGCTCCGTGCCCCGGAAAGACTCCTCGGAACTGGGCAAAGGACCCGATGACGCGCCCACCCTGCGCCCGGCGCATGCTTTCCAGGGTTCAGAGCGGGCGTTGCAAGTCTCGCGGACCTCGGTGGTGCCAGCCTCCAGCGAGGAGGTCCACCGTGCCTCTCCGAGCTGAGGATAGGAGATGTCTCGATCGAGAGCGGGGGGGTACCACACCACCAGGGGGATGCACCGACGAGGCTCCCGCCGTAGACTTTCCCCATACTCAAGCCCCAGAAGCTCAACAGTGACGACAGGTACAGGTTTGCGGATGATCTGCTGGGATGCATCATTTGCAGGCCCCATAGTGAGGAGGAGCCCGCTTGAGATGTCCTAGTAATTTACTCCCAGACGAGGTTCCCGCTCGAGATTTTCTCATATTCAGGTTTGAGGTGCCCAGATGTATAGCAGTTACAGGTTTGAGGATGACTGGCTGGAATTAGTAACATAATTTGCAGGCTCCACAGGGAGGGGCTCCCGCTTGAGACCTTCTCGCAATTCACTCACCGATGAGGTACTCGCTCGAGACTTCTTCTACATTCAGGCTTGAGGAACCCGAAAGTGACGACAGTTACAGGTTTGAGGATGACTCGCTCAGATTAGCAACATTAGCTGCAGGCCCCATGGGGATGGGGCTCAAGCCTAAGACTTCCTCGCAATTCACCCAAATACGAGGCTCCCGCTCGAGACTTCCTCAAGATGAGTGTGTGAGTGACTCTGCGAGTGTGCGAGATATGATGATGATGAGGGTGATGATGTTGCTGCTGATGATTATGATGATGATGCTGATGATGATGAAAATGGTGATGGCGATGATGATCGGTAATCGGTGACTAGTGATCATGATGGGGTGGTGATAGTGATGATGAAGGCGGTGTCATAGTAATGGTGATGGTGAGTGTAAAAGTTGAGTGATGATGGTGATGGCAATGGCGATGGTGATGGTGGTTGTGATGGTACTTGTGCTTGTGGTTGTGGTTGTGGTGGTGATGATGATGACGATGATGACGATGATGATTATGATGATGATGACGATGATGGTGGTGATGATGATTATGATGATGATGATGGTGATGGTGATGGTGATGATGATGACGATGATGATGATGATGATGATGATGATGCTGATGATGATGATGATGATGATGATGATGATGATGATGATGATGAGTGCGTGAGTGCGTGAGTCTGTGAGTGCGTGAGTCTGTGAGTGCGGGAGGGGGGAGGGGGAGGGGGAGGAGGACGAGGAGGAGGAGGAGGAGGAGGAGGAGGAAAAAGATCTTGCGCGGGGGGAGGCTGTGAAAACAAGGACCCCACCATGGATGTTCGGAACTTGTTGCCCATTACTGGGGGGTATTAAGGACCCTCAGGGGTTTCCGATTCCGCTGCCCTTCCCTCGTTTTCGCTTTTCTGGGCCTCCTGGGAGGTCCTCGTCGCCACGGGTGGATTCGCCTGGAATATCTGGCCAGAGGTCCGGCGAGTAGCGGTATCAGTACAGTGCATCCCAGTCCACAAGAAGCCTTCCACAAGAAACCCAACCCTGGGACCCCGGGACGTCCATTGATTGTTGGTGCGGGAACGTCACGTTTTCCATAGCAAGACCCTCGAAACCCAAGAACCCAGGGCACCCTGGAGGCAGGCAGCGTGTTTCTTAGCATGGGCCTCCACTCTACCTTCGTGGTTTTCCCCCGTCAGTCGCCGGTTTTGAGCCAGCGGGCCTAGGATCGGCCCGACCAGGGTCGGCGAAGTGGCGGTCCCCCGACCCTCATACTCGAGGATTGGAATTTTTCCGTCGCGACCGACACGATCAGGGCTCATTCCGAATCTTCAGATTCGATTCGATCCGATTTCGATGGCTTCCGATTCCGATTCGATTAGAAATTGGATTCCGATTCGGGTTCCGATTTCTTAACGGAGACAAACTAGCCTGCCGATTTCCGCCGGTTCGACTTTTCCCGACTCGGTTGCCGATTGCCGCCGATGCGATCCATGTCGATCGCCGATCCAACTTGTCGATTCGATGGTGGGCTCTCCTGCAAGATCGGTCGCTACCGATTTTGCTTCAAACGCCGGTATCGATCGCGACCGAGTTGTTTCGAAAGTGGTCGCGACCGATGGGTCGCGATTGCTCGCTGCCCGTCGCGACCGATTTTACAGTCAGTCGCGATCGGTCGCAACCGATTTGGAGTGTCGATCGGTCGCAACCGATCGCGACCGAAAATATACGGCATCCCATGATCTGGGTGGCCATGGTCGGTGAAGTGGCGCTCCCCGGACTGCATTCCCGGACCTCGAGAGCGCCTCGCACGCTTCACAAGGCGGGAGTCTGTTTCGCTTTGTCTGGCGCCGGGGTGGTCGATTTCAGCCCGTGCCGTTATCGGAGGCAAAGTTCGGCGGCGAGCGAGTTGGGGAAGGGAAAAGGAGAAGGCCTTCTCGGAAGGCGGCGGGGCTTCTCAGAAGCCTTCGCGCCTTCTAAGAAGTGTTCTTTCGTCTTCGGGGATGGCCTAGAAGACTTCGCAGAAGGCCGGGGACCTTCCGAGCCTTCTGAGAAGGCCCGCCGCTTCTCACTTCCCCCTGGGCTCGCCGCCGAAGAGAAAGCGGAGGATGGGCTCAGCGGGGAACGCATTGTCCCCCAACCATCCACTCATCGCCGACAGGGGCCTGAGCCCGCCCCGCCCAGGACCGTGCGGATTCGCCAGCAGGGCCGACCGCCAATCGATGGTCGATATATTCTCGAATCCAGGTCGACGTTTCCCCCCCCCGCCGGAACACCCTCGACGAGGCGCAGCCGCAGGAAGGCATGCCGAGGCTGGAAAGCCGCCGAGAGCGAAAAAGTCTGAGAGTATCAAGCCTCGATCCTTGAACCCCCTTGCACGTTCCCCCTTCACATTGCCACTCAGGTCAGAGGACGGCCCAGCAGCGGGACGGAAAAGGCCGGCCCCAGGGACGGAGGCTCGATAGCTCCGAGGGCCGTGCTTGTTACACCAGGCAGAGCTTCTGAGGTTTGGGCTTGGTGCCACTCTCGCGGACCTGCGTGGGGTCGACCTCGATTCCACGTCGAATCTGCTTTCAAGCAAAGAAGGGCAAGGTGTTCGCCTTCGGCCGGGGCTCCCGTCGCCACAGTTGGACGCAGCTCGGAAGACTGGTACGTGTGGACCCCGGGAGAGGTTCGGATCTGACTGTGAGCTGCTGTTGTCTCGACTCGCCCTGCTCGGAGGGTCGACGTCGATTCCACGTCGAATCCGCTCTGAGGCGGTTGATTCGGTAGGAAATCATGGGAGGTTCGCACGTCTTCGCAATTCCGTCTTTAGAGTGCACAGGGTAACCCATGAGAAAACGCCGACTTGGCGTCGACTCGCGTCGAATTAGCGACGGTTAGTGCCGATCAGCGTCAACTCGCAAGAGCCAACAAGATGGTGAGGTAGGCTTCCATGAGTTGCCGCGCAAGGTCGATGCGGATTGTGCGCGGGGCCTGTCAAGTTCAGCATCGTCCAACACGTCCCCATCCCCACTGAGTCACGGTATCTCAGTCACAAGTGCGCAAGAAGCAGCGTCCACAAGATGTCGCTTCTCCCACCTTGCACGTGTAAAGCGGAATTCGACGGTAGTCATCGGCACGCTCCCCGAGCGTTCTTTTGCCCGTCCTGGTGGAATCTCCCGTTCTGACTCCCTCTTCATCTGAGATCTCAGCCCGTCTGGACCACTGCTCCTGCCTGCCCCCCTCAGCAGGCTGCAAGCGTCTGTGTGCGTCAGCATCTGCAAAATAGGCAGCATGCTGTGTGGCACGGCTTAAGAATTCTGGAGAATCCAAAAGGTCCACCACGAGTGCGGCTTGCGCTTGGAGAACTTGCGCTCGAGCTTGTGACCTGCGCAGCGCGAAAGGAGTCAAACCTCTCTGACCTTCTCGGCCGAGCCTTCCCGATCCAGAAGCGTTCCTAGGCTTGTCGCCATGAGAAGAATGATACCAGGAGGGGAAACAGGTAAGTCAGAAGAGGAGAAGGTACCCATACCGCTACCCTCGTCCCGTCTTCCAGTTTGTCGGCATCCTGGGAGGCCCTCGTCGCCACCGCTGGATTCGCCTCGAAATTCTGGTCAGAACGCACCCCGGGAGAGGTCCAGGGAGTAGCGGTATCGGTACCTTTTAGTTTCCCCAGTAAAGGGGGGGGGAACGAGCAGTGCGTCTGTCACGCCAACGGATGCATCGGCAAAAACAGCCCCAACAACTTACCAATTAGGGGTGCCCCTCGCCTGGGCATGTTGGAGGCATTCTGGGGAGGAGGAGAAGCAGGAGCAGGAGGCGTAGGAAGGGGGGGGGCGGGTGGACCGCGGAAGACCGAATGGCCTTCGGCCTACCCAGCCCCCGCGGCTGGCCCAGCAAAAGCGGGGGTCGGGCCACCTTCTCCTGCTCCTCCTCCTCCTCCTCCACTTCCCCCTCCTCTTCCTTCTCCTCCTGCTCACTCCTCTCACTCTGCTCCGGATCCTCCTCCTCCACCCTGCCCTCCTCGCCCACCTCTCTTGCTCCAGCCTCGGGATCTCTCGGGGGGCTCTTTGGGGGAGGCCTTTGGGCGTTCCTGGGGGCATGTGGGGGCATCTTGGAGTTTTTGTCGGTGCATCCTGGGAGTCTCCTGGGGGCCTCTCGAAACCGATAATTCAAAGTCTCTGTTCGGATCTGCCGCCTGGGCCCCCGCTTGGATGTTTCTTGGGGGCATCGCGGGCCGTCTTGGAACCCCCTTGAACGGTCTTGGAGCCCTCGTGGACCGTTGTTGGCCATCTTGGAGGCCTCTTGGGCAGTCTTGAGGCAATTGTTGGGAACCCCTGGCTGTCTTGGAGTGTCGGGAAAGCGAAAAGGCGAGAACGTTCAAATCCTTCAAAATCCAATGGCAAATCTGTTGAATGTTACATGTGTGGGCCTTGTTGGGAGGCTTGATTCTACTTGAATTCGTCACGTGGCAATACAGGGGGGCGGGAACAATTCGAGTTCACTCTGCTCGTCACGTGGCAATGCAGAGTGGCGAAACGAATGAACGCAGGGGAGTGGGCGAAACTTTGAGACCGACTACCCGACATTCCTGTATCACTGACTTGGTTATTTAACAGTCACGTATTGGAACCACCCGTTCAAATTGCGGCTCGTCGCAACGCAGGGGGCTTGAAACATATCGTCCCACTGTCCTTATCTCGTGGCGTCGCACCAGGGGGGCGGCAATCGAGGAGAGGCGATCCCATACATCCCCATATTGTTTTCCACATGGCGACGCAGGCGTCGGCGCATAACGGCTGGATCTGGCGTCTGGGGGGCACGCTCTGGGTGACGGAGTGCCCGTGCCCATTGGTTGCTGTCCTGCGTCCAGTGTTTCGCGCAGAGAGGTGGCGTCTACCAGCACACGTCGTCGCGCGTCTCACACGGATCGGAACGTCGGAATACATTTGTTTAACCAATCGTTTTTATGCCGCCGAATAAATGTTATGACATTGACACATGTTTCTGGTATAAACTGAACCAGTCTTGCGTTGATAGTTCGTTCAATCACGTTTGACGTTGCGCCGGCTTCTACGGTCGGGGTCCGCCGATCGGTGTCTTGCCCTCCTCGCTTGAGCATTCCGTCCGCACTCGCCAGAGATTTAGGTTCTGTCCCCCGGGAGCAACATTTATCGATCGGAAATACCAGCATCGCATGGGCAAGGGCACAAAACACCAGCATAGGCTAATGGCAAAGCGTTCGCCCGTGCCGTGCGCTCCCTGTGACCTCGCACGCTCGGGCTTTACTTTGGCACCACGTGATCCTTCATCTTCCCATGCTAGGCAACCCATGTGCTCGATCGGTAGACATGCCTGCCTGGTCGATATGTTAGGCCCTACTGCCGGTCGCGTTTTGAATGCTGGGGGGGCTGTGATCTTCGAACCGTTGTTTGTTTTTCTGTTAGGAGTTGTGTTGCCAGGTGCCTGCTAGGACATCACCTGGCTGCGGTGAAGGCTTCGGTGGCGCATTGGCCGCCCACGACTGCCTTCCCCAAGACGTCGATGCTACCGCAGCCCAGGCCAACGCGGACGAAGACCACGCCCAATCGGCTACCAGCTTCGGTGTATTGAATTCGCCCCGCATCTTCGCCCGCGTGCAACCATTTTTTCTGTCAAGGTCACTTCCCAGGGAAGACGGGAGGCGCAGGAGGAACGGTGAAGAGGGCGCGGCAGGGGGAGGGGGTTCATCGCGCGCGCTCGTGCGCTTGGCAAGAACGCGGGATATCGTGGACTCAGTGCAATAACGCACGCGACATTCGGCAACGCGCGTGCCAGGAAGCACGCGATGCACATTTGCGGTCACGTGCAAATTTGTACGTTTGTTTATCGAGCGAGCCGAGTGAGCGCGGAAACGTTGACGCCCCCAAAGCATGGTCATTCCTATCCGTTCTTTCCCTTCCCTTCCTCTAGTCCATCATGTTACTACCTATGTGTTCTCTCTTCCCCCTTTCCCAATCACCCCTTCCCCCGCCTTTCCACCCCCACCGCCCGTCCTCTTTCCCTGCCCCCTTCGGTCCCTCCCCCCGATCTCTGCAACTCTGCGCCCGTGCTCTCGCGCGTGCCCGCCGTGGTTGACGCGGGCGCGATGCGACCTTGTTTTCGGCCGGCTACGACTTCATGCGCTTCTGGCCCCACCACGAGCCCCTCCCCAGGCATTTGAAGACCTCGTTTAAAGGTGTTTGTGGGCCGCCGCCCCCTGGCCGCGCGCGCGATGGGCGGTCCCGAAAGCCCGACGCTGGCCCGCGTGCTGGTGACGGGCGGCCAGGGCTTCATCGGGGCGTACGTCATGCGCTGCGGCTGGCGCCCGCCGCCGGGCTCCCCGTGGAGTGCCTGTTTCTTCCGCCGTGAGGCGGGCTTGTCTTGAGGGGCGGGGGGCACGCCGGGGGAGGGGCATAGCCAGGCATTGACAGAGCGCCCCCCCAGGCCCCAGGCAAGTCGGCTGAGGACATCTGCACTGGTTCACTCGACGTTGGGATGGGATTCGAGTGCACCAGTGCACTGGGTTTCTTGGGCTTCGATGGTTTTGCGACGGAAAGCGTGGCATTCCCCACACCAAAAATCAACGCACGTCCTGGGGTCGCAGGGTTGGGTTTCTTGTGGAAGGTCTCGTGTGGTCGGGCCCCAACTGTAAGGCGGTCGGTGTCCCTGAGGTTGTTCCCCGCTGTTGCCTCACGGGGCCCCCCAGGCCCCAAGCGGTGCGGTGACCGCACCGTGTGGTGAGTCCGTGAGGGTTCGAAAGTCTCAAGACCGAACGGTGAGCTCGTGAGGGACTCCCAGGAAGAACTCGTCCTGCAGTCTGCCGACGCGCCGCCCCGGACTCCCAGGAAGAGCTCGTCCTGGGGGAAGGCCCTCTTGGGGCCCAGGACCCGCGTCAACCCTCGGGGCCTCGCGCCAACCGGTGTCGGGTCTTGCCAGAAGCGTCCATGGCCCACGGTGTCCCCAGGATTCTCCTGGGAGGCCCAGACGGCCTCCGGTGCATCCCCCACGAGGCCCAGACGGGACCAGGAGCTGTTCGGCTGCGCGAGAAGCTGGGGGCAGTTTCGGGGTCTCGCTTCGATCTGATCGATCCGTTTCGATATCGATTCCGGCCAGCCCGACACGATTCGATTCCGATGCTCGGGCGATCCGATGCGGCCCGAGTCTTGCATGACTGCACGACGGTGCTGTGCATCTGCGCGCAGCGGGTCCGATTCGATTTTGGCTCCGTGCCGACGCAGCACGATCCGACGCACCTTTGAATTCGATCCGATGTGCCGAGCTGGTGATGGCCGTCCTGCCTTCTGGGCCTGGGACACTTGTGGCAATGCCCGCCCCTGGAGCTCGCTCCTGGAATACCCTGGTCCAACCTGTGGCGAAGCGTCCTGACTTGCCTACACACGCCGGTCGTTGAAAGTAGGTATTTTCAGATGCCCAAATCCTAATCCACTTTAGGCGCCTTCCTACTTCAAGAGTCGAGCGGTGCTCCCTCTTACCTCTTCAGGGCGTGGGCGGAAGCCCAATCTACTTCCAACGCCTTCCTGCTTCAGGTTTCTACCCACTTCTTCCGACCGACGTGTACGCCCACAGAAGACGTTCTGATAACCTCCTGTGGTTGACACGACATGTTCTTCGAAAGATTCTGGCTGAGGCACCCTTGGCTTCATACACAGGCTGCAAGCTTTAATGTAGGCCTTTCAGATGGGGTCGGAGTAGATGGGATCGAAGGATCGGTCGTCCGCATCGGCGATGCAGTTCGATGCGGAGCCCGATTTCCTCCACGCCGACGTCGCCGATGAATATCACCCACGTCGACGATGCATCGCTGGTGCATCGCGGATGCATCGCCGATGTATCGACGATGCGGCGCGATCCTCCGACCCCGTCTGCTCGGACCCCATCTAGGAGGCATCGTTCGCGTTCGCAGAACATGATTCGGCTCCGAGAGCACGTCGCGGAATGCCTCCGCTCTCGCGCACGGCCTGCGCGCCCTGCCGGCCCCATTGGGCGGGGGCCGGCGGCTACGCGAGTTGCTGCGGCGGGGGTCCGAGGTCACGATGATGGACCTGAAGGCGCGGGGGCGCGCGCACGGGCGCGCGCGCGCGCGGGCCGTGGCTCGGAGGAGGCTCGGGCGAGACGATCAGTGGCGAGGAGGAGGCTCGCCGCCGAGACAAGGGTATCGTTGGCCTGCGTGGGGGGCCCTCGTCGCCACGGCTTGACGCAGCACGGAAAAGCAGTAAGCAGTGCATCTGGACCCTGAGAGGGGTCCGGGGACCGATTTCGAGCTGCTGTTGTCTCGGCTTGACCTGCTCCACGAGGCGGGGCTTTATCCATACCCATCGCATCTGAGAGCATGTATTTTTGGATTGCAGGTTTCCTTCAGTAGTTTGGCGCGCTCCTCTTTCAAATGTCGAATGACTTCCCTTTTCGCTTGTCAGGGGGCGGGCGGACACCCAAGCAACTTTCAACGTCGTTCTACTTCAAGTGCGTACCCACTTCTGCCGAACGATTGGTGACCACCGCCTGGGGGGTCTATCTTCGGGTGCATCGGCGGACATGGATACGCTTGGTCCGCCTCTCCTCCGCGTCTGTTTCGCGGGAGCTTGCGCATCATCTGGGAAAGCAGGCTATCGGCCACGCGGCCGGGACAGATGCTTGCTTTCAGGGGCCGAGTTTCGTGGCACGACTTTCGGTTGGCTCTGCAGCCGAGGGCGGATGCACAGCAGTTTCTGCTTGGTGGAGCTTCCTGCCCCTCAGTTGGGAAGCCGGCAGTTCTCATCGCTCTCGGAGGAAAAAGTTGGTACGTTTGGCCCCCGAGGACCCGAGAATATCCGTAAGGGCTTCGCCCCCTGCCGCCGGCCCCCTCTCTCGGAGAATGGGCCATGGAAGAGCTAAGTCATGAGGCTTTGGCGCTGTCGTGCAGCAGTATCGGAACTTCATGCGAGGCCGATTCGCAATCGGCAAAACCAACTGATCACAAGAGGGGTTACCACACAGGGCGATTGGTAAGACGTGTATGGTTTACGAGCTTGGTTACCACACCTTGGGATTAAAGGGCCGAGGGAGTACTCGCAGTTTGGGTTACCACGCCTTGCGATGGATGTGCGTGAGGGGTGGCACCGAATTTCAGAAATGTGGCAAATCCCCTGTGTTTTTGGACCCTGACCCCGCGGATCTGCGTGAGGGGTGGCACCGAATTTCAGAAATGTGGCAAATCCCTGTGTTTTTGGACCCTGACCCCGCGGATCTGCGTGAGGGGTGGCACCGAATTTCAGAAATGTGGCAAATCCCCTGTGTTTTTGGACCCTGACCCCGCGGATCTGCGTGAGGGGTGGCACCGAATTTCAGAAATGTGGCAAATCCCTTGTGTTTTTGGACCCTGACCCCGCGGATCTGCGTGAGGGGTGTCGATTTTGAGCCCCCCCAGCAATTCAGACAACGCGCCCAGGTGGTGCTAAAAGTCTTGTTTGGGCCTCCCCCCCCTCGCGCGGTCAATCAACTAGTTACAGTAACCAGCAAGAAGTCAACTAGTTACAGTAACCAGCAAGAAGCAGAACTGTAACACTGGAAACTACAAGCTACAACTGGTACAGGAAACTGCGAACCCGCGCCTACAGCCTGGTGGCCCCACAAGGGGGCCGGCGGATTC